AGGATTGAAAGGTGAAATTGAAACAATAAAGAAAACACCAAACGAGGGGATGCTGGAACTAGAAAAGCTAGGTAAACCATCAGGAACTACGCATGCAAGTATCAGCAATAGAATACAAGACATGGAAGAAAGAATCTCAGGTGCTGAAGACTGATTAGAGGATATACAGTCATCAACCAAAGAAATTTTCAAATCCAGCAAATCCCTAACACAAAATATCCAGGAAATATGGGACACCGTGAAGAAGCCAAACCTGAGACTAATAGGTATAGAAGAAGGCGAAGAAATACAGCTCAAAGGTACAGAAAACATATTCAACAAAATCATAGAAGAAAACTTCCCTAACCTAAAGAAGGATATGCCTATGAAAATACAAGAATCTTACAGAACACCAAACAGGCTGGACCAGAAAAAGAAGTCCCCGCCCCACATAATAATCAAAACATCAAACCTACAGAATAAAGAGAAAATATTAAGAGCAGCTAAAGAAAAAGGCCAAGTAACATATAAAGACAGACCTATCCGAATTATACGCAACTTCTCATTAGAAACTATAAAAGCCAGGAGATCCTGGACAGATGTCCTACAAACGCTAAGAGAACAAGGATGCCAGTCCAGACTACTATATCCAGCAAAGCTTTCAATTACCATAGATGGAGAAAACAAAATATTCCACGACAAAGTCAGATTTTAAACAGTACATATCCATAAATCCAGCCCTACAAAAAAGAAAATCTAGACCCAACGAAGATAACATCACTCACAAAGACATAGGCAATACATGATCCCACTTTATCAAATACCAAAAGAAAGAAGGAGGAGAACACACAATAACACCACAACCAATAAACCAAGCACAAACAAGAATCATCAATGAATGGTCATCAGTATCCCTCAATGTCAACATATAAAAGCTCACACACTAGTAGTGGGAGACTTTAACACTCCACTCTCACCACTACACAGGATCTCTAGACAGAAACTTAACAAAGAAACAAAAGAACTAATAGAAGTTATAACTCAACTGGGTTTAACAGACATCTATAGGACATTCCATCCGAACACAAAGGGATATACCTTCCTCTCAGTGCCACATGGAACTTTCTCTAAAATCAACCACATAATCGGAAACATAGCAAACCTCCACAGATACAAAAAATTGGAATAACCAATTTATCAGACCACCATGCATTAAAATTAAGAGTCAACAATAACCAAATCGCAGAAACCCTACAAACTCGTGGAAATTGAACAATGCACACAATTGCACCATCCTGGATAAGGGAAAAAATAAAAAAAGAGATTAAAGACTTCCTGGAATTCAATGAGATTGAAGACACAACTTACCCAAACTTATGGGACACTCTGAAAGTAGTGCAGAGAGGAAAGTTCATAGCACTAAGTGCCCACATGAAGAAACTGGAGAACTGTCACACTAGTGAATTAATAGCACAGCTGAATGCTCTAGAACAAAAAGAAGCAAACTCACTCAGGAGGAGTAGATGCCAGGAAATAATCAAATTGAGGGCTGAAATCAATCAAGTAGAAACCAGGAAAACATTGAGAAGAATCAATGAAACAAAGAGTTGGTTCTTTGAGAAAATCAACAAGATAGACAAACCTTTGTCCAAACTAACCAAAAGGCAGAGAGAGAAAATGCTAATTAACAAAATCAAAAATGAAAAGGGGGACTATAACAACTGGCATCCAGAGAATCATCAGGGCATACTTTGAAAACCTGTATTCCAGAAAATTCGAAAATTTAAAGGAAATACACAATTTCTTGGATAGATACCACTTGTCAAAACTAAATCGAGAACAGATAAACAACCCAAGCAGACCTATAACCCTTAATGAAATAGAAGCAGTCATCAAAAGTCTCCCAACCAAAAAAAAGGCCAAGGCCCAGATGCCTTCAGTGAAGAATTCTACCAGAAATTCAAAAAAGAGCTAATTCCAATAGTCTTCAAAGTGTTCCACACAATAGAAGCAGGAGGCTCACTGTCAAACTCTTTTTATGCGACTACAATTAATTACCTTGGTACCCAAGTCACACAAAGACAAAACTAAGAAAGAGAACTATAGACCATTTCCCTCATGAACATTGATGCAAAAGTACTCAATATTAGCAAATCGAGCCAGGCGGTGGTGGTGGAAGCCTTTAATCCCAGCATTCGGGAGGCAGAGGCAGGTGGATCTCTGTGAGTTCGAGGCCAGGCTGGACCGACAGCCTCCAAAACAATACAGAGAGACCCTGGAGACCCTGTCTCATAAAACCAAAAAAAAAAATACTAGCAAATAGGGTCCAAGAACAGATCAGAAAAATCATCCACCATGATCAAGTAGGCTTCATCCCAGGGATGCAGGGATGGTTCAACATACGAAAATCTATCAATGTAATCCACCATATAAACAAACTGCAAAGGAAAAACCACATGATCATCTCACTAGATGCTGAAAAAACCTTTGACAAAATCCAACAACCCTTCATGATAAAGGTCCTAGAGATATCAGGGTTAATTGGAACATACCTGGACATAATAAAAGCAATATAAAGTAAACCAACAGCTTACATCAAACTAAATGGAGAGAAACTCAACGCAATTCCTCTAAAATCAGGAACAAGACAACCCTGTCCACTCTCTCCATATCTCTTTAATATTGTACTTGAAGTTCTAGCTACAGCAATAAGACAACAAAAGGAGATCAAGGGGATACAAATAGGAAAAGAAGTCAAACTTTCACTTTTTGCAGATGATATGATAGTTTACATAAGTGACCCAAAAAACTCCGCAAGGTTACTCCTAGAGCTGATGAACACCTTCAGCAAAGTGGCAGGATACAAAGTAAACTCAAAAAAATCAGTGGCCCTATTAAATACAGATGATAAAGTAGCTGAGAAACAAATCAGAGAAACATCACCCTTTACAATAGCCATAAACAGCATCAAATATCTGGGGATAACGTTAACCAAAGTGAAAGACATGTATATCAAGAACTTTGAGTCTCTAAAGAAAGAAATCAAAGAGGATACCAGAAAATGGAAAGATCTCCCATGCTCTTGGATTGGTAGGATCAACATAATAAAAATGGAAATCTTGCCAAAAGCAATCTACAGATTCAATGCAATCCCTATCAAAATACCAGCACAATTCATCACAGATCTTGAAAGAACAATAATCAACTTTATATGGAAAAACAAAAGACCCAGGATAGCCAAAACAGCCCTATACAATAAAGGAACTTCAGGAGGCATCACTATCCCTGACTTCAAGCTCTATTATATAGCTATAGTCCTGAAAACAGCTTGGTATTGGCTCAAAAATATACAGGTAGACCAATGGAATCGAATTGAAAACCCTAACTAAAACTAAGGATGTATGAAAGGACCTCAAGGAAATCCACTACTTTGTAAGCTAACTGAAAAAATATAACTGTTTTTAAAAGGAAGTTATGGTGGTACCCTGCATGGGTAAAGAATGCTTCCCCCAAAGACATGAGTTACTAAATGAAAATCTCGGTGCTGGCTGGGAAATTCCTCTCCATGAGATGGAAGAGGCCCTGGAGGCGCTCAAACAGCTCAGTCCACCATCACTGCTCTTAGTTGTTCATGGGAAGAACCTATCGCTGAACACATGGCTCTAGAGGGAGCAAGCTGGAACTGACATACTAACTTCCTTCCTGCTGGCTAGTTTTCACTGAGCTAAAGGGTGTTACACGCAAGGATAGAAAGGGAAGGGGTAGGCCCTGAATGCTGCAGTACTGACTTGCCAGGCCCACACGAAATGCATCCCACAACAAATGAAATTGCCATATAAAAATCTCAAAGCAGATCTTTGCAGATCTTAAACAACAGCAGGACTACATTGTAACTCCAATCAGGACTCTTAATTTAAAGACTAATAATAAGAATGTGGCTTTAGGAAAATCCAGTCACTGCTTCCACATAATTACGAGACCCAACTAAAATTATGTCCTAAATTTCTTCAACTTCTTTTGAAGGTATTTTTCATGTGCACTCGTTCTGAAATTTCCTGGTCCCAATCCCCTCTGATGACATCACTATAATCAATAGCCACCAGCTTCCAGTCATACTATGAACCTGAGTAACATCCGAGAAGTTCCCCTAAATCATGGAATACATTGTCTTTTAGACAGTCAGCTCTATGCCTCAAAGCACTTCAGGGAGCTAGATATAATATTACAACCCAGAATTACAATTAGCCAGTGTTGTAATTTAGGAAAAGCATCGCTCAAGAGAAAGATGCCATTCGACATGGGGTGGGGCATAATTAGGGAAAGGGATCTTAAAAAGGGAAGAGGGGAGGAGGAAGACTAGCCTCTGGAGTCGGGAGCACCAGGAGGGAGGAAAGTGGGAAGGGAGAGTGAGAAAGAGGCAGAGATATATGAAACAAGGAGAGAAAGAGAAAGAGGATAGGAGGTGGGCAGGACCCCGTTTAAAAGGGAACATAGTGAATGTGCACAGGTCGTGCTCTTAGTGGCTGCAGCTGAGGGCTTATCCTGTCAGAACCCCAAGGATAGGCCAGTACAGACGTCTGAGACAAACAGTCAGGACCTCGCAAATCAGTCAATCCCTCGTTTTGCAGAGAGGGAGAATGTGGCACCAGCGGAGGAGCTCTAGCTTGGATTCAACAGCTGGTGAAACCATTCTCCTCTGATCCTGTTCAGTGGCGAAACCATTCTCTGATCCTGTCCAGTGGTCCTCCTCTACCGGAACCCAAATGCATGTATTCGCTCACACCCAGTCAGGTGAGGAAACGCACACCAAAGCTACAGATGGTCCTAGCTGTAAAGAAAGGGTCAGCACCTCTTCCTGCTGGTGAGGAAAGTGGGCATTTACGTGACACTGCGAGCTATATAAAGCGGACTTCAGCCTCCTAGCAACAACCTCCTGAGGGAGGAAATAAAGACTCGTGATGATCCCTTTCAGGTAGGACTACATCGAAAATAAAAACCCAAACCCCAGGTTCAGCACGCACCCGCGCTTCCCACGCAGAAGCGGATAACTGTCACCGCCTGAGCCACGGCTTTCCGGGACCTGGCGTCGGACTCCGCCCCCTACCCCTAGGGTTCAGTCCTCCGGAGGAGAGAAGCACGAAGATCGAGACACTTCCCGCAAGAAAGAGCTACCTGAGACTCCGCCGCCGTCCGCCGCCCGCCGCCACGGTACTTCAGCCTACTTCCGGGGTCAAGTCGCCGTTCGGTCACCCCAGATCCCGGGTCCGTAGCCTCAGCCCCGCCCCTCCAAGTCCCGCCTCCTCCACCTACTTCTTTCAGCCCCGCCCTCCCCCGAGCAACTTCCGGAACGCTGTGAGTCACTAGGCAGTGCACCCGTACTTCCGGACGCCTCGTGCTCTGCTCCCAGCCCCAAGCAATGGAACTAGACGACTTTGTGGATTTGATTGGTGGAGCTGGAGCGCAGGTCTCCTATGATTGGTGATCGGGAAACTGCGTGTGTTGGCGCGGCGGCCAGCTAGGAGTCAGATCTAGTTCTGCTTTCCCGCGGGTTCCGAGAGTTGGCGGCACAATCATGGTGGACATCCTGGAGCTCCCCAAAGCGCGCATCAACGCCAGCATGCTAGCGCAGTTCATTGACCGACCCGTGTGCTTCGTGGGGAAGCTGGAAAAGGTGCGTGGGCTCGGGCGAGAGAGCGGGGCACGGTGGCTACCCAGGAGGGGCTGCGGAGTGGGCAGGGAAGGGTGAAAACAGGTAGCCTTAAGCAGCATTGCACTGCAGCTTGCTTTATTATTCACAAGCAAGAGTTTCCACTGCTAAGTCAATGCAGCTCCATCATGATACCGCTTCTTCTATGTCGCAAAAACAGTGTTTTCGAATGAACTGTGTTGCAGTTCCAACACTACCCGCCCCCGTTCTGTATTTACCTGAAAGATTACCCATCTGGCTTCACTGCCTACTGTCTTGAGTTTTTGGTTTAGCCATGCTTTGGCTGATGAATCTGTTTCCTGACTTTTGCAACCGTCTCTGTTATGGGCCTGTTTTTCGGGTTGCAGAGGCTTTTCTGTGAAACATTGATAGCCCCTCCCATATCCTGTAGATCCCCAGTATCTAGCGCAGTCTTTTGACTACTGCCCTTATCCTATAGCTAAGAAATAAGCCCAAAGTCTCAGAATCTGTGACTGCGGAAGCCGAGGAAAAGAAAGTCATTTGTAAGGACTTATTTACTAGCTCATTTCATTCACACATTGCCAAAGTGAAAGGAATGTTATTCTAACTTCACAGGTAGGCTGACTGAGCCAGAGTGTTGGTAATTAACTGAAATGCTCAGGGTCACAAGTGGCAGAGCTCAATTCAGATCCCAAGAGAAGTCCTCACATCTGGCAACCAGTTCTTTAGTTCTTCATTCCTAATTTTAAAAGCATAACCTTCTGTGAGATGTACTATCTAAATCATGAATATCAGCAGAATTCCCACTGTTAGGTAAGTGAAAACTTCCTTAATTTAGTTTTCCTATACAGTTGCCAGATTTTGCAAAGAAAACAAGAAGCCACACATAACACTAAGCAAGTGTTCATTGTTTCCTAGAAATTCAAAATTAGCTGGGCTTCCAATGATCAGATCTGGTAACAAGATTATAACTTGAACCAAATAAACTGTCCAAAAACCATTGGACAGTTACCTTATGTTCAAGTAAGATATCAATGAATTTTTAACCATTTCATTTCTGTAGCTTGTTTTCTAAATCTATGTGGGTTTTTGTTTTCTTTTTTAGATTCATCCCACTGGAAAAATGTTTATTCTTTCAGATGGAGAAGGAAAAAATGGAACCATTGAATTGATGGAGCCAGTATGTTTTAAGTGATGTCTCATATTTAGTTTTTTGTTTGTTTTTTTTTATTATTTCTGATTTGGTGGATGGTAGTGTGAAGGCTGTGCTTGTTAAAACTCCTTAGCTTTAAAATCAAACCTGTGCCCTCATTTTATTTCCATTTTTAGCCTATACTAATTATTAGAGCTCCAAGTTTCTGAATATGTTCCTTAAGTATTGGTTGGATAATAATTTTTATTACATAAAAAGATACCCCAAAAGTGCATATGAAAATCTTTTCAAACTACTTCGTCCATATTCACAAGCCTGGCCTTGAAGTGGTGGCCCCAGGTACTGTGCCTACTTCAGACTGCTAGTGGTATTGCAAATCATATTTATTTTCTATTTTTAATTTTTAAGTTTACATATATTTTATTTTTTGTTTAATATGCTTAGAAACATCTTTGTGTCTTTTATGAAGACAAATCCATATAGTGTTTGGTTACTCTATATAGAACACACATTGTAAGATTTATACACAGTTCTCAGTGGCTTTTCAAAAAAATCCCTGTTTATATTTCAGGAACTCTGAAATCTTCAGGCTTTAAATGACTCTGCCATCAAATATATAACTGTATCTTTGGACCTTGAGACTTCTAAAGATAATAAAATGTATCATTCTGTCAGCTATAAATACAGTCATTTTTTGACAAACTATATTTCTGTTTTTATGTTGGTAAAATTTGAAGTTTCTTTTTTTTTAATGAAAAATTAGTAAGCTGTGAAACAATTTGAAAAACAAGAAACTGTATAACAGCTTTCCAAGCTCATTATCAATTGAAAAGGTCAATATATACCTAACTGACATTTTGGTCAACATTTTAGCTTGATGAAGAAATCTCTGGAATTGTGGAAGTAGTTGGAAAAGTCACAGCCAAAGCAACCATAATGTGTGCATCTTATGTCCAGTTTAAGGAAGATTCTGTTCGCTTTGGTAAGTAAAGCATTATACTACTTAGTAGTCTCATGTAAATAGGAGAAAAACTTTTATTTACTATGTGTTGGTCTTAAATCGCAGTCCTGGCATATTTTCAATTTCTATAGAATGAAGAGACCATTTTTTAAACTAACCATGTCTTGCAGGTGAAGGAAACTTAGTAAATGCTATTTATAGATAAAAATGGCTTAAAATATGATGAAATTAATATTCTAACATGAATTGAGAGCTTGATCAGTGCAGTAACCCTGAAATTATGACCCAGCAGAAAATGACTATGTAATAGACAACACAACAGGCTGTCATCACTCCTTTCTTTGGGGGCACCAGAGTTAAATGAACATGGGTTCTGACAAGAAGTTGACTTCTGAAAAGGAGAAATAGGTAGAAACTTCCAGTAACAGTCGATGCTGCAGATTCTGCTGTAAATTGTTTGCTTAATTGTTTCTTTCAGATCTTGAACTTTACAATGAAGCTGTGAAGATTATCAATGAGTTACCTCAGTTTTTTCCTTTAGGGCATATAAAACATGAATGAACTTCTTAAAATTTTTATGATCGCCAGTGAGCAACATTGAAAGATTTTAAAGAAGACTCCTTCAGTTTGAGTGAGAGACTCCTCTAATATCTAATATTTAATTTGCTCTTTTTTATGTATTATGTTGTAAATCTATTATGTAACAATTTACAACAGTCTTTATAAAATTTTTAAAATGGCTACTTCTGCATATGGTCTGAAAAAGAATTTAGAGTTTAGATTTCCGATGTATAATAAAAATCAAAATAACATGCTGTTGGTCAACTGTTTTTACTTTTTCAGTCTTAAACTTGGAATTTTGTAGTTGTAAGGTCAATCTTAGATCTACCAAATGAAAGCCTGGGCCAACTGTGGTATGGATTTAATTACCATCTAACATGCTGATTATTGCTTGATAGGATGTTTAGAAAGTACTTTTGGTGCATGAAAGAGCAGGCATATATCTAGTTTGTGAAGTGTTTCTTCATTCTGGGTATTAAAATGAGCATATACCAATGACAAAGAGATGATATGTGATCATTCAGTTAGTGGAGTCACTTGACTTTCTCTTCTGACCTTTAAACTGCCATTGTTCTTAGTATGGAATTCTCACCTGCCATTTTTATATCCTGAATAGGAATGTTTTTCATAGATCAGGCTATTTTGAGAAATTCTGAAGACATTAGATATGGCCTACTTAAAGGAAGTACATCATTGGAGGGTTGTCTGTCGAGGTAGAGCTGGGCCCTGGCCCTTTCCTTGCTGTACTCATGTTTCTCAGCCACCGTGGCATCATGAGGTACTAAATAAGCTCTCCCTTTAAATTGTATATGTCAGGTATTTTGTCAATGACAAGAATAGCTATGTACACACACACACACAAGAGAGAGAGAGAGAGAGAGAGAGAGAGAGAGAGAGAGAGAGAGAGAGAGAGAGAGAGAGAGAGAGAGAGAGAGTCCTAGAATGTTGCGAACAGAGAGAGAGAGAGTCCTAGAATGTTGCAAACAGAGAGAGAAAGTCCTAGAATGTTGTGAACAGAGTTTAATGAGTAAAGATGAAATGCTGATAGAATAAAGACTGCTCATGAGATTTCTGGTGAAGATGAAACTCTTGGCCATTAGACTGGAAAAGTCTGTATTACATTCTGGGAAAGGATTTGTCTATGTTTTTGCTCATGGCCTGAGACTAAGTGAGGCTAAATTCAAAATGAAGACATTCATTTGGCAGAAGAATTTCTAGACAGGTTAATATTGGACTGTGACATGTTCACTGCATACAGCTTTTAACTGGGTTTACAATAAGAACTAGAAAAAAGCCGTGTTGAAAAATGTGTAGTTTGGCTAGAAAGGGAACTTTCAAAGTGGTCACAAAGAGAATATATGTGGTTGTTCACAGAGTTCAGGACCATGAAAAAGAAAGCAAATGTGTTTCACTGGAATAGGAAAGATACCATGAGGGCATCACAGAATGAGTTTTTACTCATTTGGGAGGTCTTACATTATTAAGAAGGGAGCTCCAGGAACACTGTATGCACAGCTCTAAGGTTTAGTTTTGGGGTTTTGTTTTGTTTTCCCCGTGTTTATCTATGCAGGCACTGTTTAGCCTATGCAGACATGGCCTAAATGGCCCTGGCTCCTGCTCGGGCTGTCAGTAGATCTTGATGTCATCTACATGGTGTTTGTTTTTTCAAGCATGTAGAACTCAAGTTGAGTGCCATGAAGGATTCCACCTTTATTTAAAGGAAAGCTTGGAAGTCTAGACAGTGTTTTTGAGTCAAAGTCCCTGCAGGTAGTGTGATACATGAAACTTCAGCTGCACTGGAGTCTCGGGTGTTAAAGATGCCAGAAACAAGCAATCTCAATGTCTGCAAAGGAAAACTATAGGCAACAAGTAGAGCCAACCTAAGAGAGGTCACATGGACTACAATGGGCAAGGCCATCAGGGTAGAACTGCCCCAACCTATTAACACTCCCACATCAAGCCACAAATGCCACCTCTGAAATTGCAAGAATTTAACCTTTGCCAAACTGAATTTTGGCCTTTAAATGCCCATGATCTTTTTATAGTCACATGTGCAATGTTATCATTTGAATATGAAATTACCCTACAGATTCATGCGGTAAGCATCTGATCCCCATTTAGGGCTCTATTTTGGAAAGATCTAGATTAAGTAGGTTACTAGGAGCACAGCTTGGAAGGGGATGACCTGGCCTCTGGTCCTTCTCTTCTTGTCTACCATGAGCATCCTCCTCCTCCACAAGTTCCTGCTGCTGTGATGTTCTGCCAAACCATGAGTCCGCAGATAGGGAGCCATGTGACCATAGGCTGGACTTTCTGAAACCATGAGCCAAAATCTTTAAGCTGTCAACTATTTTGGTCAGTATAATTTTATTATCTTCAATTTCATGTTTTTATAGCCCTTAAATAATCTACAGATTACTTAAAGAACATTACCATAGCTGGTTATGGTAAAGCCTTTTATTATAAGAAATGAATGTTGAAAACGAGGGACATCAGCCATTTCTAGTAAGTTTTGTCTTATATACTAGAGAAGGGGTCAGTCTCCAGTTCTGTGTTAACCAACCCGGTGTTGTCAAATGAGAGTGTCCTAAAAATTGTGCTAAGTCAGCCTAGGGCCCTGCTTCCTGTTGAGTGAGTCCTTTGTTCTAATGGCATGAGGCTGTAGCTAAACTCTGCCATGTCTGAGCTGCTTCCCATGTATACCATGGTGTCCCATCAGCCTACCAACTGAAGGAATGTTGTCTGAACTGCCACCTTTCCAGATTTTTTCCTGCAGTGATTTCACTGAAGTATTATTCACAAATCATACAGTTCACCTATTTCGAGCATATAATTCAATGATTTTTTTCGTGTGTGTAGAATTGCTGACCATACTCAATCTTAGGATATTTTCATTGTGCCAAAAGCATATTCCACATTGTTTACATGTTAATTTTTTACTCCAAGAAAGTACTCAGTAAATTTTGGTTGACTATAGAATATCAAGGTAGGCAAAGGATAGTTTCAATACATTCATTTATAATATGGCACAATTATGTCTTTTAAAAACTATAAAAGTAAGAAACATAGAAAGGAGATAACACAAAACATTGTAAAAAAAATACCATCTCTGGAAGTGTAATAGTCTTAACTGATACATTCAAATTTGAAATTTTACAAGGAATATCAGAATTTAATGGTTTCCTTAAGTGGTAGTTCTGTGTAGCTTCAGGTTTTTTTTTCCAATATAAAATTATACACAAATCAGAAAGCATCTTTTCTTGGGCTTAATGCTCTTGAGTAACAAACTAGTGTTATTAGTAAATGTATAGAATTTGGAGGTTGTATTTTTAATATATTAATATAATATCCATTGTCTTTCCACAAATACTTGGTGGTAAGTTCTCGTCTAATTACTGAAGATACACATAAAAGTCTGAAATCTGTCTACAGCAGCTAGTATACTCTCAAGGTGTCTTATCTTACTAACTAGCTAGCATTCAATTGATCCAAGGTTTCAAAGAAATACTCTCAATCTGCCAGATACAGTTTTACTTTGTGAAACTTCTATTTAGTTTCTTCCTTTATCTAATTCACTTGGAATTTTATTCTTATCTGTTATGAAGATAAAGCTAATCTTAATGCCATCAAGTTGCCTCTCCTATGAAGATGGTGTGAGACCTAGAATATCACTAAAACACATGTTTTGAGTTACTTTCTGATACTGATGTTGGCTTGATGTAAGCCTTTTGTGTTTCTTATGACTCCATTTGATGTATAGGATGGGGTTATATATGAGATGGCTAATTAAGACCAGAATTGTAGGCTCTGAACAAGTTATAATATATTATGTTCCTCTTGATTGCAAGGATTAAAATTGCAGTTAATATTGCTTCTGCTTTCATATTACAAAATACTAACAGGAAATTAAGATGTATTGTAATTCATCATTTTAAAACATGTAGTCTGAAATACACTGGTTTCTGCATATTAAAAAATTCTGTTACAACATGATTGTTTCTTTGGGTGAGCAAATACAGATCAGAAAACTTGAAAGCAGTTATCAAACGAATGCCACAATTTGGAAGAAAATACAGATGACTAGAGCAAGAGTTTAGGTCAGTGCCATACTTAGCACTGACTTAACTATTTTCCAAGTCTCATTTTCCAAGCAACTTCATTTTTCACAGTTTGAATTATTACTCAAGAAAATCTCACATCATAAAATGTTAAGGTAATAAATCTTATTTAATAATAGTTCTACTGAGTAGAAAAATTGTATACCTTGTTACCTGGATTTTTAAAACTTAATAATCAGGAAGCTCTTTGTTGATGGATAATTATTAATTAAAAGTTAATACTATTACATTATGCACTGTCTAGGTATAAGATACCAATGCTCATTTTCATTAGTTCAACTGCATACATAACTAGTCAAATAGTGTCAAGTGAATTTAAGACAAATAGAAACAGCACATTTCACTGAAACATTGTAATATTTCTTTTGCTTTTGAGAGGCTTTAAATTACATTAAAACACTAAGCCTGATAACTGAATACACTTATTTAAGAGCTTCATCTGCCCTTTGAAATGATCAGAGTTACTTTTAGCAAATTATTTCTTCCATATGTCTCAGAAATGTTTTGGTTTAGTTGGCCATGTAGTTGACCTTTTATGCAAGGCAGACAGTGGACCAGGGATTGCCTCATTTTGGAATTTCCTTAGAAATGACTAAATGTTTTCCAGATGAACATACTGGAGAATTAGAGAAGAAGCAGAAGTAATTAGGAGCCATTGCTTCCAAACCAGCAGATTTTTGTAGACTTATTTTTCTACTGGAAACCAGTGACCTAAAAGGACTGGGCCTCTGGGCAGTTTGCTTCACTTCCAATAGTACATATAAATTATGAAAACAAGTTGGGATTAAATATGACATTTATACTGTTCTTATTTTCAAAAAAAATGAGATTAAAAGTCTTTCCCTGTTTTCTCATGATGAACTAATACAGTGACTTTCCCAAATGTAAACTTAGTTACCAGTGGAGATAAAATGGTGTGATTTATTGTCCTTGGTTTTCACAGGACCACTCTGCTAAAATTAGCACTAATAGCCTGCCTTATTCCTTCTTAAAGAAGTAAAATTACTTCTCCAGAAAATAAAACTGGTTCTGTGTTGCCATTTTCCCTCGGTCTTTCATCATATGATCTAAACTCTGAGGTGTAAACTTAAGGATATATTTTAAACAATCCAGTGAAAATACATTATGAGAACATTTGAACTTTTAAAATGAGGTGTGTTCAAATAAACAAGTACAATACTCCTGTGTTCTGTGACCCAACTGAAAGCTCAAAGGAAAAGCTACTCAGAAAAAAAAAATTTGTAAGTTTAAGATATCATTTGGTGCTGTTGTGGAATAATCCTTCTATATACTGTGAAGATGTATTGTTCTCATTTTTAATAAAAAGCTGATAATCCGATAACTAGATAGGATTTTGGGGGCAGAGAGAATACTGGAAGAAGGTGGAGTCAGGAGTCGTGAGCCAGACTCAAGAAAAAAACTTCAGGTAAACAAGTCTCAGGGCAGCTCATAGATTAATAGAAATGGGTTAACTTAAGTTATAAGAGCGAGCTAAAAAACAAGCCAAAGTTATTGACGGAGCATTTATAATTAGTACTAAATCTCCATGTGGTTATTTGGGGAGCAGCTGGCAGGAGAGCTGATAGTGGTCTAGATGGAAAATTCTGTCTACAAATGGCATTCCAACATGGGGTAAGGCCACATATATCCACATAAAACCTAAAAATGCTTAAGAAAAGGTTCTAAACACACACACACAAAATGAAGTCAAACACAGTCCTTTACATGGGCCATGGTACAGATGTCTACTAGCTGCTGCCTGCAGGCTTGAGTCTCCAGAGCAAGCCCCACCAGCATATCACAAACTAAGCTGCATGGCAGGGTTAAGTCATTCATAGTTCTTTTGTCATGTTGGGACATCCATATCCAAATTAGTATATCTGACAGACTTTTTTGAGAAGCAGAGAATTTTGAAGGACTAGCCCACCTTATCTTGACAAAGTTTGACAGTTTTGGTTTTCGTTTTGGGATTTTGTTTTGTTTTTCGTTTTTGTTGTTTGTGTGTGTGTGTGTGTGTGTGTGTGTGTGTGTGTGTGTGTGTGTGTGTATCCTGCTGGTCCAAGATCCAGTTTGGACAGTATACTGTCAGCAGTTGAGGAAAGGGTGCATTTGCTGAAATGGCTATCTTTTGCCATAAAGCAAGTGAACTCCATACAGAGGTTTATTGATACTCATCATTCCTCTTTTGAAGTAGATTGGTGCTGTCAGGAGCAGACGTGTCTCACTGTCACAAAAAGCCTTAGGTTGTTAAAGTATTTTAAAATACCTTCTATCTAAAATATACATCTGTATAACCTTAAAAACATACCTAAAATGACTATAAGTTTGATTAACTACTATAATTTTTAAAATATATTTTATGACTGTCAATACCCTTTCTCTTTTCTCTCTCAAGCCTTTGTATATTTTCAAATATACTGTAACCTGCTTAGAGGATCTTTCTGTTTTACTGCAATTCTGTAATCTTGTCTGCAAAGGCAAAACTAAGACAGCAGACTTTAAAATGAAAAGGGAATGTTGCTAAAATAGCTAAACCACTGTATGAAAACTAAAGACAGATCCCTTGCTTTAGGCAAAACATCTAACTATATTGATAAAAAATTTAGGCACAAGATTATATAAACTTTTATGGTATTTGGAAACTTTTCTAAAGGATAATTTCTGAGTTATTTTTGTCTTTTTATTTTCTTAAGACAGGTTTTCACTGTGTAGCTTAGGCTGGCCTCAGACTTATAATTCTCCTGCCTTCACATCTGACTGCTGCATTATAGGCATATACTACCACATCTGGCCTTCATAACTTTTCATATGGCATAATCATGCAAATAAAGATTCCATTTATATAGGGCTTTAAGATATTAGTTTCACAGCAATATTTTATAACGTGTCTATTTATGCAAGATTATGCTCAATCTGACTGCTATTCACTTTGTATGTATAACAATCTCTCAAACTGAGACATCAGTCTCAACCTGGTTCTGGACTTCAGGTCCTGTTTCTTTTGACAGTGGACTGGGGGACGTTTATTTATTTTTTTTAACATCCCATAGAGTTCTTGGGAGTGGGGCCATCCACTGGAGCATGGTGAATCTACCAGGGCCACACCCTTAAAGAAAACAGACAAAATGACAAATAGAAGAGTGCCAGACTTCAATCTAGACCACAGACCTAATTCTAGTTTACTACCCAATTAGAATGCTTCCCAGAATGACCCTTTTTCTTCTACTTTATTTATAATCTTGTCGGTCCTATTATTCAGACTCCAATTAAGTGGTTGAGTTAAAAATGGACAACAGATGAACTATCAGTTGGCAGCTGCTGACTAGAATGCTGTGCTGCAGCGGGGTCTGAGAAAAAGTGTGAATGATAAGCTACTTGAATCAAGCACAGAGAAGGCTGTGTTCATTGCTTACTCATCACCCAACAGTTAAAACAGGCAAAGCTTGGCCTAGCCAGCTGAAAAGAGTACTAATTCTTACCGGAGAATTGAAAAGATAAAGGGAAAAATCTTGTAGAAATCCACCCACCTTCCTCTTTTTTTCTTACCACTTCAATGCTGCTTCTTACTACGAATCCCTTTCTGCCCACTTAGCCAAATACAAGAAAATGGCTATCTAATCAATATTGGGTAAAAATGCCCTCTAGCAATGCTCAAAACAGCCTTTCCTAGCTGCTTCTTAAAAAGCACTCAGCACCACCCACCACCACCTAACTGCTAGACTCTGGAAAGAATCATTAAGTATAGGGATGGTTTCACTCCCTGCAAAATCAGTCTTGGCTCTGGGGGCATATGCACTTGAGCTGGGTGAACCTTACTCAGAGGTAGGATAAACAATTGGTCTTAGAAAATTCGGAGAAAGGAACAGAGGAAATATAAGCGGATTGGGCAAACTGGGAGCTACAAGTAAATGAGAGAGCAGTTTAAATTCAGAATGATGACAATACCAGAGGTAGAGATGCTAAAATACAAGTTCTAAGCCCCATTCCTTTTCCTTGTATGTATCTTTTACCAAAACCACAAGCTGTCCTATTTTCATAGGCTATGTAGACCCACATTTTCTGCCATCTACTTTAGAATGTAGTCCACTTTGTCCTGACAGCTCAATGTCCTTTCTTATCCTTTCTTCCAACATCTGCTTGCTCAAATACAAGAGTATCTGACAATCACATGTCAGTCTAAGATAATTTGGCAGTTGTATTGCTCACCATGGATACATCTGCAAGTCTACAACATGCCAGTGACTAACAAAAAGAACAGGCCAGGCATAATGGCACACATCTGCATTCCCAGGATCCAGAATACTGAGGTAGGAGGAATTCTGGGCTAAGAAGCAAGACCAGTATCAGAAAGTTCAGAAAAAGAACTGGAAGTCCTCAGATATTGTCAAGAACGTAAGATTTTATACTGCTCCCGGAAGGAAAACAACAAAACCTGCTTGACAGGACAGTAACCAAGAAAAGGCCTTGTTATCGTTAATGTTGTAATTTTTTTTTTTGAGATGCGTATTGTCCTAGCACAACTCTGTAGTGGCAGATTCGGTCTCAGTAAGAATGCTGATGGCTAGAGTATCATCAACTGAAGCCTCCACTACTCCGTACAAAAGAAGCAGAGATGAGAGGCAGCTCATTAATCATTTTCCCCGGGATGAATGTGTTCTGGTGCAGATAGGAGCCTGTAGGTGAATGCTGCCAAAATGAGAAATGTCGGTTTTCAGGCCTCATACATAGCCACCATAGAGCTATTTTTAAGCATTTTTGCAGATTAAAGTTGTACGCCTCTTCCCTACAGTTCAGGCACATATGCTTGGCAATTTTGTTCTATGAAAATTCATTTTTCACTCAGCTTAAATGTCTCTGCTAGAGAAAAATATTCAATTCATAGAATATACATGCAAAAGGATATTGAGAAATCTCAAAATTTCACATACTGGAAGTAAACTCCAAATGAAGAACAGTAGAAGAGACAAGCTAGAAATAATAAATTATTTGGGGGGGTTCTTTCCTGAGAGGATGTTTTATCTGGAAGAATGACAGTTTTAATCTCAAGGTCCCAATGGGAAAGAGACATATACTTCATTCAATACTTCCTCATGGCAGAAATAACAGAATTTAACACAGTATACTTGAAATTATCATTCAACCATTAGGGTAAGAACACTGGCAGGAATGGTGATATAAAATGACTCTGAGAAGCTGTGCCAGTTTATTCATTTCCAGTTTGTGTCTGTATTTCTACTGGAAAATAACCTTCCCTGTTTGGAACAATATTTCAGCACTCATTGGAAGAATTATACTACATTTTAAAAAATGCTACTTAGTCAAGCATGCAATACTACAAACAGCAGGTGCAGACAGAAAGATCATGAGTTCAAGGCCAGCCTGCTACTTGTCTCCCAAAGAGTGGAGATCAGGGAGGGCAATTTATCTATCAATGGACCCTACTGTCATTTTTTCTCTACACTGGTTTTGAGGAATGGAAGGTCAGAAGATTTAAGACAAAATATTTCTTTTGCAACAGACACATCTCTCAAATTTATTGCTTAAAATTGTATTTATAAATATATACCTCCACCTATTTAGGAAATTTTATGTATACCTAGATTTGGGCAAGTATTAAGTATTCTTGTCTAATATGAATTTGCAAATGAATGAATTTTATTAAATTGGAACATAGGAACTTTGTAATACTCATTTTTTCATAAAATACTGCTATCATATTTGTTACTTAAAAACGTAATTACATTATTTAAAAACAATGTCATATTTGACAATGGCAACTTCTTATTTGCCTATCATTAACTAGGCATGGCTATACCAAAAATATGAATAAGTATGAATCTGGGCATTTGCTATTTCAAACTTGAGGGTTTCTTGAATATTCAAGTGTGTATAAAACATACATAAATGAAACTAATATTCTTTAAGTAAAAAGATGCAAAGCCAATGGTTTTTGTGAATTCACACATGTCTGCTTGGCATTTGAGACATGAATCCCTTCAAATACACTTCCAGACAATTCTGTCTTTGTGACTTTAAGATTCCAACTTAATTAGATTACTCTATCTGCATTTCCAGTTAGGAAATTACATTAAGGCAGCATGCTTTTCATAAATTGGATAAAAGACTATGTGCTGAATTATTATTGCTATTTCTGGCATTATACAAATTATCCTTAATCCTAAAGCAAGCATTTAAGTACATTGTCCTATCAATGGCATTACTAAGGAAATTGAATTTTGGAAGATATCATGAACAACTATTTCCTTCAATTATTTGAAAATAAATAGAAAATAATTTTTTAAATTCAAATAAAAATGAAAGAGGCTGACGTTTTGAATGTGAAGATGTAAATGCTGCAACAATCTCCATCTGTATAAATGATAAAGCAAATCTAAACACTGATCTGAGTGACTCTGAGCATAAGTTTGGTAGAACTGTGCATGTGGCTGCGACCTTCATCAGACACACCGATTCCAAAGCAATGATGGTGCCATCGATCTTTTAATACCATGACCTCAACAATGTCTACCAATCAAAGCATGCAGATGATTGCTGGTCTGTTAGAAGAATGGGCATCTGGGCACATTCAGAATTCACCACTTACTGAAAAGAACTTACTGTAAATGAATTCTGTATATGCACTCCAAGTTAGATAACAACAATGGAGAGGGCAGATTTCCTGCCATGGCCATAGAGCCAGAAGAGAAGAGTCAGAAAATCTACGAGAAAGACACAGGAGAGAAAAAGGTTGAGATAGTTACTAATTATACTTCAGGGAAATTAAAAGTTTTATCAACATTCCTCAGTGAGCTAAATGGAGAGTGAAGTACAATTTCTAACTATCTTGAGAGCTGAACTAAGAGCATGTTGTTACTACAGTGTTACTACTGGACACAAAACTGAGAAAAGTACTTTCTGAGTAAGTTAACAACTGTACTAACTTTCCTATTAGGAAGCACGTTTCTTTACATAATAAAACACAACTGGCTGTTTCATAATATCAACAGAAGATGCCTGGTCACAGTTAACTTGAAAAAAACAGTAATAAAGATGTACATTTGTGTTTATTTTTACATCTCTCATTATTGAAACTAAATACTAGATAGCAGAAAGAGAAACATAACCCAAAGCCCAATGTGAAGACTGTCAAATTCCCTTTTATACTTAACATGCTGTGTATGTTCTCATGTACCCAGCCTTATTCTTCACCTACCAAGGGCATAGAGCTCCCTTAGTAAAAATATCTACTTTACTCAAATAGTTGATTAGTATTCCCTGTGTATGTTAATATTTAGTGTTGAAGGAGAGAACTACATCATATACATACATGTATAACTTATATATGTATAATAATATATTTTATATATGTATGATACATATATAAATGCACATATATCTGTGCATTTATCCAACTGGATATCCAACTAACTAGTAACGCATAAAAACTTTCTGCCATCTTATGACATAAGAGTTGAATATTTCTAAGGATCTTAATATGTATTTGCTCATTTCATTTGAGGAACACTTACACTGACTTAATTGCTGTTCGTGGTGTTCTCTTGAACTGTTTCCTTCCCAGTCATTAAAATGCAGATACTCCTGTTAACAGATGCAGACAGGTAACAGCACCCTACTTTCTCCTTTTGTGTGCAAGTGGTACTAAGAAACCTTTGTGAACTCACCTCACCTATGCTTAGCACATGTTCATAATGACCTATGTCCTCTGTCCTTTACCATCAACCTTTTAATCATGTGTTAATATATTTGTCAGCTGTCATAATTTATGTTGTCAAAGAAAAAATGTCCCTATGTCTGTTATCTCATGTATACAATGACAACAATATCATATAACTCAACAAATCTGTTTAGTTTCAAACACCAGTGACCTAGGGAGTAAAAATGGAGAAATCATTTGAATCTATTTTCTTTCCACACACAATGCAAGGCATGCAAGCTGTATTGTTAGTCTCAAAGGAAATGTTAGGAAGTTCTGACATAGAAGAACCTTTAAAATGTCACCATATGATTACAAGTCTACTTTTACATAATAGACTTCATGTTTATTATGCCTTATCAAAAACTTTCCTTGACTTTATATTGTACTTTTAGGAGAAATAAAAATTTACATACTAAGAGTTTGACATTACTTTGAAGCTCATGCTAAAGACACAATAAGATTAAAACGACTTTTATCTTACACCTTATTAAAGAAAATATCCTAATAAAAGTACTAAGATTTATGAAAACCAATATTCCCATGATGGCATTATTCCCAAGTTTCCCATCTGAAAACTGTCACCCAGCAGAAATTTAGATCTGACCTACACTATCCCCAATGTTACTCTATGCCTATTGCATCATCCGATCTTTTATAAACAAGATTCAATTTCTCTTGAATATGTAAGTCACATCTTTGTCAAGTCTAATAGACCTTAGTCTTTCATCAGTTTAGCTGCTGACAAGAAGCTATAATGGTATTTAGCTTCAAACATCTCCCCAAAATCTACAGAAAAGGATCCTCTAAGATTGACTTATAGCAAAAAAAAAAAAAAAAAACAGTTCAGCTGCTATACACAGCAGATGACAAAGAAGCATGGTACAAATCCTTTTGTCTAAAATCTGTCCAATTAGGCAAACAAAAATGGAAACAAAGTTCTTGAACTGGCCCCAATACACATATTTTTAGCAACTTACATCTAAAGCAGACCTCAGGAATGCCCTTGCTTTGCCCAACATCATGTAGTCAACCTTGGAAAAAGATGGATTCCAGAACTCAGAGCACCATCAAACCAGTTCCTACATGGTGGGATCTTGCAAAGACTTTGTATTCAGAAAACACTCCTGATGGTGAGAATGCTAAGTTAGTATGGTTAAGTAGAGAAATCTCCAAAGACAAATCAGAACACAGGAAGAGAGAAAAATTAAACAAAAACTTTTGGCATGTTTTCCTGAAATTTCAGAGTTTTCTCTTTTGTAAAGAAAAAAAGTTTTGAGATACATTCTTTTTAAATTATTTTATTTACTTCTTATTTTCTAAGTGTATATGTGTGCATCTGCTTGACTCAGGACATGGAGCCCTTATATAGGTCAGTGGATTCACTGCTTCTCATATGTGGGCCCCAAGGGTCAAATTCAGATCATTAGGATGAGAAGCAAGGCCCCTTACATACTGAACCATCTCACTGGTGGACCATTAACTAGGAATTTTTAAGGAAGACAACAATGACCTGTAGGGGAAAGCCTGTATGCCGCCATTAACCATGTGACTTACTAGAGGCGCATACAGATGAAGTAATAAAAGGGCGGTTTACCACACCACTAACCACACCCACTTTAGGCATGACTAAAGACGTATATGGCCGGACGTAAAGACGTACACGTACGTAGGTGGTGAACTACGTCACTAGCCAGGCCCACTTTTGGGCATGGCTAGGGGGCATTACGGGGGAAGGCATAAAAGACAGCACACAGGAAGTCTTGGTCTCTTTTTCCCCCCGGAGTTCGTCTTCCGGTTCGGCAGCGGGAAAACTACTTGGCTCACCTGGGTTACTTGTTTGGTATCTTGTGAGTAATTTCTACAATAAATACTTAGTTTTACTTTCAGTAAGTGTGTCGTTTATCGTTACAGCGTCATTTGGAGCCACAATGACCTATGTCAAAAATTTACGTTAAACTACAAGGACGAGGAACACACACATACACACACACATACTTTTCTCAAACATCTTGTTAACATTTATACTCCAGTGTGGGTTAGATGCTAATTCTCAATGTAAAAATTCACACTTTATCTGAATGGAATCTTAAACTTTTATCTGAACCACTGAATTGGCCATTTGGCTTTAAATATGTACAAATTCTATCAAAAGATATCAAGTTCAGATTGAAGATGCAGACACAATGTCTGTTTTTATTCTAAATCTTCTATATACACATTTATAGTTGACAAAACCCTAGAAGGTTGTTTCAAATGAACTTTAACCTACTGCACAGCACTCATATTCACGCTCTTATGTTTATTTCAGCAGCATCTGCCTCTAAGAAGCACATCAAATCCCTCAAACATCAAATTGCTGATAGGACAGAATGATTTATTTTCCCATTGTAATAACGTCATGAGTGACTTGTTCTGAGGTATGTTTCTGAATTATGAAGGACAGCTATTAAAAACTTTCTCTTTAGATGTAACATTTCATGGCTGGACAGTCTCTGCTGGTACCAGATTTCCTGTTGTATCCAACTGCATACATTTACACGTGCATGCAGACACAGGGCACTCTGCATGGTCCCTGAAAAAAAGGGTGAAATAACAGTTAGGAATCTTTACACACTCAAATATGTTTATATAATTATCTTCAAAATGTCACGGGTTAAGCATATAAATTAGTAAAAATCTGCATTAAGAGTGTCAAATTAGGGCTGAAGAGATAGGTCAGAGGTTAAGAGCACTAGCTGCTCTCCCAGAGGTGCTGAGTTCAATTCTCAGCAACCACATGGTGGCTCATAGTCATCTATAATGAGATCTGGTGTCATCTTCTGGCATGCAGGCATACATTCAGGCAGAACACTGTATATGTATGTAATAAATAAATATTTTAAATAAATAAATAAAGTAAAGGAGCACCAAATTAGAAAAAAATCACCAAGATGAACTTTGAAGAGAATGTTACTGAAAATGAACAGTTTTAGTTTCTATACTAATATACCAAAACAGTTACTAAGGGGGCAGGGCTGTATTGAGCTTAGCGCAAATGGGACAAAGCTCATGAGAGTGTTATATTAATGAATGGCAAGGTCACTAGCACTTTTCAAAATCAGTTAGTTTATTTGAGAATCTCCATTGCAAGAGCGATTTATGCGGAGTTTACATGGAAAGAACTAATGTAGTAGATCTCGTGTGTGTGTGTGTGTGTGCATGTGCATGTATGTGTATAATTATATTCATGATTTAATTACATGAGAAATTATAAGATATAAAAACTGTAAATATCCTATCCCCCAATGGGGTTAAATAATACTAAAAATTTAATCCATAAAGGATTTATAGTATAAAAAAAACCTGAAGCAAGGTCACACTATGTATCCCTGACTAACCAGGAATTTGCTATGTTCAAACTGTCCCTGAACCCATCTCATAGGGATCCACCTGGTTCTGCCTCCCAAGTGATGGATCAAAGGCAAGCCCTACCACAAACCTGGCATAGGTATTGTTTTTATAGTTTAACATTATATAAGATAATAATAGAACCATTGATACTACCTTTGTTAAGTCAAATAAGTTTTGAAAACATTAATTCCTTAATTGAACATAATACAATGATACCAAGAGCCTGAACTATTATTGAGAAGGCTATCTGTTCTATGTCCTGTAACTGTAAGATGATCAAGGAGGAAAGTGCAGTTTACCTGAACCAACTAAGCATATGTCCAGCATGCCCACCATGACGACAATTGTGACACCAGGTAAACCAATTATTAAACTGAGCTAACTTTTTGTCCTTGCTCAAGTCCACTTTTTCATCCGATTTGGATCCACCTATGAGAAAAGAAATTGATCACCATTAGTCACATCACAGCAGTTTAAGTTTCTTAAAGGGTAACTATGCTAAAATATAAATCATTACCATATTGAAATAGCAATTTTAATGTTAAGATCTAGTAGTAACTAGTTTATACACGTACACATATATATGTGTTGTTGTTGTTTTAAGACAGTCTCACTATATAGCTCTAGCTGTCCTTCACTATGTAGACAAGGTTAGCCTGGAACTTAGAGCGATCTACCTGCCTCTGGCTCCTAAGTACTGGGATAAAAGGCTTGTGCCATTACACCTGGCTACTTTACCTATATTTTTAATGGTCAACAAAAAATGCAAAAGTGTAACTTACCCAAACCCACTAAGAAACTACCTGAATTAAAAAGCATTACACTAGTCAAAAATGTTTCCAAAAAGAAATCTAGGCACAGGTTTCAGGTGAGTTTTACCAAACACCAACATCCATACAAACTCTTCCAAAGAAGATAAAAAGAAAGCTTCTTGTATTTGGTACAGTTTGCTACCAAAATGACAAAAAACAAAACAAAACAAAAAACCCAGCATGAGAAAGAAAGATTACAAACCAACCTATCTACTGAACAGACATAAAAATAACAGGTGAAATACAGGTAAACAGAATCCTGCAATAACACAACCCAATCCTACTTCTTGGTAAATTTAACAGACACACTATGAACACACATTAAGGAGACACATGAAGTGTTCACAGCAGCACATTACTCATTCTAGTACAAGTATGGAAATTAAATGTTTAATAGCATAGAAGAAAATCCTACTATATTCTTGAATGACACACTTAGTGCTAGTGGAAAATAAACAAATTACAGCAGCATTCATTAGCATGAGACAAAAATAAAAAGCCAAGAGCAAAACAAATCAAAACAAAAAACCTAGAAGTACAAGTCTAAGGTTAAATAAAACAGAAAATCAAAGAAAAAATTTTATGTCTTCTGCACAAAACTCAAAGTACAAGCAAAAAAAAATGTGACAGGGTTATGTATGTAATCAACAGGCTGACTGAGGAACTCAGTATCACATGGTTGTCCTTGAAAACACAAATATACAAGCAACACTAAATGGAATCGGTGGGCTATATTTACATATTTTCTGTATCTGTATGTATGTATGCTGTGTATTTCATTATCACACAAAGTAAGAAAAAGCAGTCATGAGTTTGAGAGGGAACAAGGGGTGGGACTTGGAAGGGGCTGGGAGTAGGAGAAGACATAATTATATCTTAATTAAAAACACACCAGGGAAAAACAGACTGGTAAAGAAAGGGCTGCTTGTGGTGGCACATGCTTCAAAATCCAGTACTTAGGCAGAGGAAGGCCGATCTCTGAGTTCAAGGCTAGCCTGGTCTACATAGTGAGTTCCAGGATACCGAGGCTATATAACTGAGACCCTTTCTCAAAAATGAATAAAAGACTGGTGTAGACCATGACTTCAACAAGGTAAGGGAGGGGACTCTTGGAATTTCTATTTATCACAACACATGACATAAATCCTTTCATCCATATTCAGTTCAAGAAAGAATTAAAAGACATGTACTATTGTGTAAAATTTGTTTATACTTGTTCACTTTAGTATATTTTTTTGTTGTTGTTGACCCTTCCTGTAGTACTTAAATTTCAGGCATTTTTCTAGTCTTTTCTACATTTGCTATGAAACTTTTTATGTTTCAAAAACAATGCTGATTCTACTAATTCTGGGTATCCCAATGTTTTGTTTTAAAACAACAATTCAAAATATTTTAAAATCCCACACAATTAAAGATAAAAATATAAGAATAAATTAAGTAAAATAAAATGTTATCTCTAAACGATTATTAAGACATGTCGTACATAATAAAAAAATTACCAGTATCATTGCTACTCACTTTTTAATAGCTACAGGAATAATTTTACAGATAGAAATAGTTTCTTAAAATACCTAATTTTCTGCTTGTGGTATAAAAGTAAAAGAATGTATTAATAATAATTAAGAGGTAGTCGCACTGAAATTTTTCTAAAGGATTTACCAACAAATCAACAATGAAAAAAAGGAAAAGAAGAAAAAAAAGATTTTATAGAGACACTTATTTTTATACCCTTGTATAACAGTCTGTTTAGTGATTATGGACTTTGTTTTTTTAGTTTATTTGTAACTCTGTGTGTGTGAGAGAGAGAGAGACAGAGAGACAGAGAGAGAGAGAGAGAGAGAGAGAGAGAGAGAGAGAGAGAGAGAGAGAGAGAGAGAGAGAGAGAGAGAGAGAGAGAGAGGGTCTGCCTGTATGTATGTCTGTCTGTCTGTGTACCAGGTCTGTGTACAGTGTCTAAGGTGGTCAAGAGGTCAATGGAGACCTGGAGCTGGAGTTCCAGGTGGTTGTGAGGCATCATACAGGAAATGGGGAACAGCATCCAGTGCTCTTAACTGCTGAGCCCCTCTCCAGCTCCTTTATTTTTAACTCCTAACTTACAGAGGGGACGGTCTCGAACAGAGCACTTCTTGTATACATTTTTTTAAATGAAACTGACATATTAAGGTCTTCCTTGCTACAAAGAGGAGTATTTTTTAAGATAAAGTTTGTTCAAATTTTTAAATATTTATAGTGAATTAAGAAGATACACACAGCAAAATATTTAGAACTCAAGAGCCTCACCCATGCACTAACGTAAGGAGGAAATCAGTATAAAATCTATCTTTAGAAAACTAAGTCACCATCTAGAAGTTCTAGAAAGGCACAGACTTTTATGTGTGGTTTTATTTGTTAACCAACAAAAGTACTAATAAGTGTTTATAAAACATTTAAAATTTACGTTAATTACAATTTTAATAGAGTTTGAATACATAATTGAGTTTAATATTATGCTACACTTGTGTTCAGTAGCAGAATGTGTGCTCACCGTGTGTGTGTGTGTGTGTGTGTGTGTGTGTGTGTGTGTGTGTGTGTGTGTGTCAGAGAGAGATTCACTAAGTTCACGAACACTGACTACTAGGACCATGAGGTATGATGATATAATGTCTGGCTAAAGTGTGTTTCTAAACTGGGAGACAATGTTTGATTTCCATCAGTTCTGCTTAATTTTATAACTAGGAATCTTCTGAAAAAGAGAACAAACTCACTATTACCTAATGACTGTATCAGAGTCCTTGGGGTATGTTCAGGCTCCATATTTTTGTGCTCTGCTTCCTAAGAATGCACTTCCTAGATCCAACAACCCTGAGGCAGCATTAATTCCCCACACTTTCACCCTTATCAATCCACACACAGAAAGTTTCCTGACTATAACACAGTAAAGCTGACCAAGTACCAGAGCAACAGCTCAAACCTTCCTTCTTTCTGAGTCTTTCAAGATCTTACAATGTTTCTTTCAAAATTCCTAACAACTTCCTTGTAAAATACTCTTCTTTTTACCTTCAGGGGATAAATCATTTCAAAATTCAAAATGTTTGGAGATTTTGTAAAAGTGATACAGAATAAACACACTTTCAATAGCACATCAAGAAAGTCAGCCGGGCGGTGGTGGCACAAATCTTTAATCCCAGCACTGGGGAGGGAGAGACAGGAAGATCTCTGTGAGTTCGAGGCCAGGTTGGTCTACAGAGCGAGTTCCAGGACAGCCTCCAAAACAATACAGAGAAATAAAAAAAGAAAGAAAATCAGATATATTTGTAACTAAGTACAGTAACATTCTTGCAGCAAGGCATGTGGATGTTCACAAGTATATAAAAATCTTACTAGTCTTGTTAATTTTGACCAGGTTTTATTTTCAAATGAGATATTGTAAATTTGTTTTTAAAAAATCCTCTAAAGCCAGGTGTAGTGAATCCCTTTAATCCCAGGACTCTGGAGGCAGAGGCAGGCAGATCTCTGTGAATTTGAAGTTAGCCTTGTCTACAAATTGAGTTCAAACTCAGTCAGAGCTGTTACACAGAAAATCCCTGTCTTGAAAGAACAAACAATCCCTCTGGAATTCTAGATCTTTCTGAAGATTTTGGAATGACAGACACAGGACTTGTGGCCCACTCCTTACTCCTCAAAAGATACGGCTCTTCTTTCTTATTTTCTATTATTTCTCCATGTTCCATGGTTACTGTTCATCATAGCCTCTAAAAGGCTCCTGGGCTCACTCAGCAGTGCATCAGCCTTATCATAATATGCAAATACTTGCATAGACTTGTGTTATATGCAGAACCAAATATGGGAGGAATTTCTTAAACAAATATTATGATGTAATAAATCATAGTACTCAACATTTATGATACTAGTCTCCACAATAGCTTAAACTGAATCATGATTTATTTTTCAATTCTAAAACATTATCTTTGCATACATATTTCAAAGCTAGCAAGGACCAAAAATTAACATGTAATAAAAATGAAAAGCACTATAAGTGTCAACAAAAGGGAAATTCACTCTAAGTTCCTGAGACTTATAGCCCAGAGGTTATATTAAATATAACTATTTTTATGTATCTCAGTTCTCACAAATTTGTTTCATTTTTTCATTGTACTAGATGTTCCAAATTTTATATTTTTGGTATAAGTGGGGCTACATAAAAATTGATAGCATGTAGTATGTAAAATAAAAATCCTTAATTCAAATTTAAACCAAACCCTGGGGGTGTGGTGTGCACACCTGTAACTCCAGTACATCAAAGGTCAAGGCAGAGGGTCACCAGTTCTAGGCCAGCCAAGGCAACATAGTGAGACACTGTCATAAATACCAAGATGTATATCGAAAAATATTACAAATGGAGGAAAAAGACACAATGGCCACTTTTTCACTAACCAATATACCAAATAGCCAAACAAATGTTTTTTAACTTGTTTTTTAAAGACCGGATTTCTCTATGTAGGTGGCCTGAATGTCCTGCTACTTTCTTGCTAGACCACACATGAATTCACAAAGATCTGCCTGCCTGCTTCTGTTTCCTCAATGCTGTGATTAAAGGTGTCCTTCACCATACCCAGCCCAAGCCAAAATGTTTTTGATGAAGGCTTTTGACATTAGTATCATTTCCAAGTTACATAACTAGAATGTTCCAAGCTACCAAGTATATTATATTGCATTATTTGCTGTTCTAAAAAAAATCCCATATTTACTGTAGAGTAAAAAAAATTTAATATTTTAAGCATTAAAAAACATTTGTTGACCCCAGAGTGGTGGCATATAAGGTTAATCCCAGCACTGGGAGGGGGGAGGGGCACAAGCAGGCACAGCTCTTTGATTTCAAGACCAGCCTGGTCTACATAATCCCTTCTCAACAAACCAACAACAAAACCTCACATCTATTCACTGGATAACTGTCAAAACAGCAGAGGGAAGACCAAAACGGAGAACAAAAGCGCTGAAGTAAGAAGGAATATGATACTACTCTGGGACTATCAAAAAGCCCTATGGATACAAGGCATTTGTTAACAGCTGTGAGCACACTGAATTTGAAGAAGCAAATCTGAAATATTGGTAGGAGCCATGAGAATGGTCTAACTAAAAACCACTCAAATTTAAGCTGTAGTCATCAATTTTAAGTTGGCCAGCGTCTCTGAGGTTATCTATATTACTGTAAATATAGATTTTACTTTTAATGTAGACTTTATAAATTAAAGGGGTAATAAAAAACTTTCAAGTCAGTCAATAAAGTGATAGAGACATTAATAAGTATTTTACTTGCAACAATAATTCAATTATGTAGGAAAAATCAGTTCAGAAAAATATTTTGTACAACTATGTCATACCAGGACAGCTAGAAACAGGTGTTCCCATATTAATGAGGCAAAGTGCACATCGAGGAAGGGGTTTTCGGCAGCCAGGGCAACTTGTGACTTTGGATTTTGTTGGTGAGCCACTCACACCATACTGACTAAAGCCTCTGCCCTGATGAGGCACTGAGGAACAGCTGTAGGAGATTGACTTGCCACAAAAATTACAACTCACAAATACCTACAAAGCAAATGGAAAGAGCAATTTAGTACAAACCATAATGGAATTATAAAGCCTGAAACTAACAAAATATGTTTCAAAAATTCATTTTACATTGCAAAATGATCCATATGATTAGCTCTCAGTTCATGACTCCATGCAGCAGTTACATGATTTGGTATTTTCTGTTACCTTTACTTAATTACATTCTTCCTAATACCCTCATACTTGTGAAATATTAGGAACTTTAGACCCTAACATTTTATAACTAGTAGGGACATTAGAATGCATGCAAGGCCATTACAAAATACACCAATGTGGTTTAATATTAAATGTGTCCAATAGAACTCTTGGTTCCCAGCTGAGAATAGGCCTTGATATAGAGCCTAGCAGGAGAAAGTGGGTCATTTAGTGCGGTCTTTCAGGTTTCTTAGGCTGGCCTTCCTAACTGGGGACACAAAGTGTCAGCTGCCTCACGGTCCTGCTCCCACGCCTTCCCCACCACGAAGGGTGGCATTCCCCTGAACTGCTGTCCTTTAAGCTGCTTCTTGTTAATTAGTTGCTTACAGCAACAAGAGGAGAAACTAAGGCACCAACGTGCAACCAACCACTAAACAAAGTTCATGGACTCATCTTATAAAGGCAACACTCTGAGCTGGGCTTCCTGACAGGCCTATGACCCAACTACTCAGCGAGTCGAGGCAGAGGATCAAAAGTTCAAGGCCAGTCTGAGTAATTTACTCAGATTCTGGTCTTTAAAAAAAGAAGGGAGGGAGGAGGAAGGGGGGAAGGGGGGAAGGAGGGGAGGGCTTCAGATGTAAGCTCAGTATGAGACCAAAGACTTAACACATACAAGGCCCCAGGTTCCATTTCAATGACAAAAATAAAATAAATAAAACATTCCCCACCTTTTCTAGGATGAAAAGGAATTAAGGCTCTGGTGATAGTACATTAAAAGTTTAAACAAAGCTGGTGAGATGGTAAAAATAGCCATTAGAAGGTGCTCACTAGGCTTTATGAAAACCCGTCAGCTTTTCCAGATCAGTAACATATGACAATACTATCTGACTGAAACTCCAGCCATCACAACAATTTTCACTTCCTTCCAGAATAAAATAGCACCATCCAGTGCTCATGGTGAAGATAACCGAATATTTAACATCTGAAGTAATAGTATGATATATATGATAATTGATCTCACATTAAAAGTGCCATGTATAGACATATATGTTTATACTTTTTTTAAAAACTCCAATCCTGCTCTGCTGCATATAAATAATATATAAAAACAATACACATGTGGGATTACTAACATTGGGGATTCTGAAAGAGTTTGGCAGATACCGAATTTCAAACAGCCCTAGCAATTGGGCTTTCCTAAGATCATCTGGACCTACTGTCCTTTGTTTTATCTCAAAGTAAAGTTTAGCTGCACAAGATGACTGTTAGGAAACAGAAGAAGAAGATAAATGGGAAAAAGCTAAGAACAAGGTGTGTTTTGGGGTAGGCAAAGGCAAAGGAGAAACTCGATATAAATAAAAGATGAGATGATAATAATTCATCTGATGCTCACATAGAACTGGATTCTCTCTAGAACATTCTACTTACCTGAGCTAAAGGCTTGGAACTGGGATCCAACTTACTCCTATGAATATCAAATTCAGCTCGTTTGTGCCAAAACCTCCAGGCATCTAATAAATTTCTGTAATTCTCAATCCAATATTGAACCCTTTCATCTTTAAGAACATCTAAAGGTGAACCCTAAGAAGAAAACATGAATTATTTCAAATACTCTGAATGTCCTGGTTTAAATTAGAGGATTTTGGGTAGCACCCGAGTGTGAGTGACACAGAAGAAATGGCCTTTTCCTGAAACTGGCTCCTAATGAGGAAAGCTTGGCTCATCTGCCTTAAACAGGACTTCACTAGGGATGTAAGCCTGCACCTACTTGGCCAGGAAGTGGAACTCCCTTTTGAGTTCAAGGAGCAAGTGGCAAATAGTCTACCTTACTGGCTAATGCAGTCAACGCTGGTAAGAAAATCCCTTGTCCTAACTATTAAAACTTAAGGTTGAAAAACTGCTTATAATGTATCCAAATGACACATCAAATTACTTGAACAACATTTAAACTACCACTGAGCCTGGCCGTTCATGTTTAATAGTGAAATACGGCTTTCACATAAATTAAGTATGAAATGCACATAAGCAAAAATGAGAAGTAAAAACTGGTTTTCTAAATTTACTTTAAAGCTTTTCTCATTTAGAACATTAATTTCTGATATTCCGTAAGAATATATCTAAAACAGACAGAAGTACCAGAGTTAGCAGAAGAAAGCTTTAATGTGAAATATGCTCAAAGAAAAACACTTGAATACTAATGGAAAAATCCCTTTAACTAGTGAGTAAATCAGGAATGTAAACTATTATAAAGTTTATTTTTTAAAATACTTGTGGATATAGGAGGAAAAAAATCCCTGGCAAGTTTAATGGCCAAGGGCAGTGACAGAGAGAAGAACAAATAAACAAACCAACATTAATTGTCCAATTGAAGCTGGGTATGGAAGCACACTATAACTTTGAACTCAGCACACGGAGGTAGATGTAGGTAGATCTCAGACTGGCCTATATCTCAAACCAAAGAGAGAAAAGAAAAAAAGAAATTGACCAGTTGGAGAGGAAGAGGCAAATAATAGAAACAGGAAAGAAGAAAATGAACAGAAACCCCAGGCTCTGAACACTAGGGCTTGTTCACTACATACGTAATAAGGAGAAGAAGAGATAAAGAATCAGAAATAAAATACCCAAACATCCCAAACTTGATGAAAAAATGTTAGCTGATAGATCCCATAAGCTCAGGAATCAATACACAGGGTACAAAGAACTATAGGTGGGTGCATCAGTGTCATTTATTTTTCTGAAAAATCGAAAAGAAAGAGAGCTTCCTGAAAGAAATCCATGGAATCATGAAACATCACATGCAGGGAAACAAGGAAAACAGACAATTTCTCAGAGTCAAAGAGGCCAGATGAGTATGAAAGCACTTATTAATATGCTAAAGAAGAACCAAGAAGAACTAGATGTTCCTAGTAACTATAAGCTGGGGCCATCGCCTGTATTACAAGAAATGCTACTGAATAAACAAGGCGATGAAGCAAGATTAAACGTAGACCCACAGGACCTGAGAAACAGACACTAGGAACAGTAATAAATGAACAAAGAAAAAGTCTCTAATTCCTTTCTTATAGTTTATACAACAGACATATCATCTAAAGCAAAAACAACACTGTAAGTTGGAGCTTACAATGTATATAGAATAAAACATGTGATGGCTAGACAAAGGAAAAAATGTGCAAATGAAATTATATTGTCATAATACTTGTAAAATGCAAAGTTTAAGAAAAACCCAGTCCTCAATGAGAGGTAGTAAAGAGAGGACATTATGACATGTCAGGTGTGAAATGCAGTATAAGGGGAAAATATGACTCTGATGAGTTCAGGATGCATAGTGTAAGACCCAAAGAACCAGCTTTAACAAAAAGACAATGAGACGGCTACAGCTAAAAGACAATAAGGCAGGAAAAACAAAGGAACAAAAGAAAAAAAGACAAACAAAATGAAAACAGCATGATGGTAGAGTTAATCTTGGCCACATAAATATAAACAGAAGAAGCACCTCAACTAAATAGCAGCAATTATCAGACTAGACTTTTTTTTTTTTTTTTTTTTTGGTTTTTACGAGACAGGGTTTCTCTGTATTGTTTTGGAGGCTATCGGTCCAGCCTGGCCTCGAACTCAGAGATCCGCCTGCCTCTGCCTCCCAAGTGCTGGGATTAAAGGCGTGCGCCACCACCGCCCGGGCAGACTAGACTTTTTAAAGGTCACGTTATGTACTGAATGCACTTTAATATTTTATAAATTGTGCTATTACCAACCCATCTGTACGCTATAGTCATACATCAGTTGTTCATTTAAAAGACAAAATCTCATTCCAGTGAGAATAGTTATATGGCAGAATACCTTTTCTCACATGGGTGGTGGCTTGATATTTATAGAAGCGGCATTGCATTTTGAGCAAGCCTTAGGTGCATTCACAGGAAACGTGGAAGGGAAGGGTAAGCACATTTTGATCTGTGTACCAAGGTAAGGCAGGCTTTCACATAAAAGAAAGAAGGCACCAAAGAGAAAGGCGCTCATGCCATGCACCAAAGACTAAGACCACTGAAGGGCCACTGGACATAGGAGATACCTTTGCCACAAAAGGAAAATAGAAAGCAACTTTTTCCTGGAATCTATTTAACTACTCAACTATTCAAACAATGAAAAAAAATGTTGATGAACTAGTTATTCAAATTACCTTCTTGGTAATAAGAAGGACAGTGGGGGTTAAGGGAACCGAAGTATAACTTCCCTTCTGCTGTTCAAATGAAACCACAGTTCAGATCAGGGAAGGGAGTCCTGTATGGGAGGAGGACTGGACTCTGATCTGAGGTTTGGGTTCCATCTGAGCTGCACATGAACTCAGATGCAGTCAACCTGAGGTTTGGGTTCCATCTGAGCTGCACATGAACTCAGATGCAGTCAAGACAGGTATTTCTCAGACTGAAAATAAACCTAGATGAGCTGAGGAGATTAGGGCCCCCAGAGACAACACAAGTCCTCAACAGATCACTGAGGTCCAACTACAAACTAAAACTCCTAAGCAAGGGAGAGAGCATGTGTGCGTTGGCAGAGAATACACAGCATGCAAAGTATGGCTTGCCATTTTGGTTTTTAAGGCCAGTGTCAGACTAACCTGTAGCATGCAGTAGCTTGCCGTCTGGACATCTCCAGTTCTATCCACATAGCTCTCCATCAAGTCCACTCCATCTTTAGTGAGGCCTGTAAGCAAGATTCCTTCCAAATTTCCAGCCTCTTTCATTTCGTTGGTCAGCTTTTCAATGTATTTATTTAACTGAAAAATTCAAAGTGATTTTTCTAATGCAATCTGTTTCACTACACATTTTATAACACTGAATTACTATATTTAGAACAATTTTATTCTTAATGGAAAACATTTTAAGACAGAAACTCTTGCCAAAATCTAGGTATGTAAGTATCAAATCTGAAATATTGGTAGAAGCTATGAGAATGGTCTAACTAAAAACCACTCAAATTTAAGCTGTAGTCATCAATTTTAAGTTGGCCAGCATCTGTGAGGTTACCTCAATTACCATAAATAAAGATTTTACTGTTAATGTGCAGACTTTATAAATTAAAGCGGTAATAAAAAACTTTCAAACCAGTCAGTAAAATGATAGTGACATTAATATGTATCTTATTTGCAATAATAATTCAATTATGTAGGGAAAATGAACATGTCTACATCTACTTCATGTTTTTTTTTTTTTTTTTTTTGGTTTTTCGAGACAGGGTTTCTCTGTAGCTTTGGAGCCTGTCCTGGAACTCACTTTGTAGACCAGGCTGGCCTCGAACTCACAGAGATCCGCCTGCCTCTGCCTCCCGAGTGCTGGGATTAAAGGCGTGCGCCACCAACGCCCGGCTACTTCATGTTTTAATACAGTATCCACAATGACTTTATTTTATTTTTGTGTGTCTACACCCAGGTATTTTCACAGGTTCCTTTAACTGTGCTATCTCCCTAGTTCCCACAATCATTTTCAAAACTGACATGTCTCATGTTTACAGATGGGTAACTCTAAGTGTCTTCTCTTCAGTAAATTCTGTTTATTGTGGTAGTATGAACTAGAATTACATGTTGAAAATCATCAATAATAACCATTTCCTTTACATGTTCTATTTTCCTCCTATTCTAAACTCCAGCCAACATTCCTCCTCACTGCCCAACACCCTGTCACTGCAATAGCACTGCTACTCATCTGTGCATTTCCTCCTCACTGCCCAACACCCTGTCACTGCAATAGCACTGTTAGTCATCTGTGCGCATTTCCTCCTCACTGCCCAACACCCTGTCACTGCAATAGCACTGCTACTCATCTGTGCATTTCCTCCTCACTGCAACACCCTGTCACTGCAATAGCGCTGCTAGTCATCTGTGCGCATTTCCTCCTCACTGCCCCACACCCTGTCACTGCAATAGCACTGTTAGTCATCTGTGCATTTCCTCCTCACTGCAACACCCTGTCACTGCAATAGCACTGTTAGTCATCTGTGCGCATTTCCTCCTCACTGCAACACCCTGTCACTGCAATAGCACTGTTAGTCATCTGTGCATTTCCTCCTCACTGCAACACCCTGTCACTGCAATAGCGCTGCTAGTCATCTGTGCGCATTTCCTCCTCACTGCCCCACACCCTGTCACTGCAATAGCACTGTTAGTCATCTGTGCGCATTTCCTCCTCACTGCCCCACACCCTGTCACTGCAATAGCACTGTTAGTCATCTGTGCATTTCCTCCTCACTGCAACACCCTGTCACTGCAATAGCGCTGCTAGTCATCTGTGTGCATTTCCTCCTCACTGCCCAACACCCTGTCACTGCAATAGCACTGTTAGTCATCTGTGCGCATTTCCTCCTCACTGCCCCACACCCTGTCACTGCAATAGCACTGTTAGTCATCTGTGCATTTCCTCCTCACTGCAACACCCTGTCACTGCAATAGCACTGCTAGTCATCTGTGCGCATTTCATCCTCACTGCCCTCAGAGGCGGCAGGGAGCGCTTAGGTACTGAAATAAAATATTTTTGTATAACATTACTAAAGCCTAAGTTTAAAATTTGTATCTGCTAAGTTTTCTTCTAAAAACAAAATTAAACTAAACATCAAGTTAACATTCTAAAACAAATTTAGTTATTACATGCATATTTATAATGTCAATGTAATAGGTTATCTTCTTAGATTTTATGCAAAAATTTCCAGGCACATAATTATATGTAAAGATTAGTTTCTTAAAATAACTCATAGTAAACATTATTCACCTCCAATATACAACTGAATCAGTTCTCACCTGAGTATCACCAAGGAATTTACAAGCAAATGCCACTCTGTCACGTACTGCAACTTTATTTTCATACTGGAAAAAAACAAAAAACAAACAATTGTTAATGCCATAATTTTTTAGTTTCTATAGACTAAATATGCACCTAATGTGTGTTTATTTTTATATGTATTACAAAATACGTATGCATTATATACATTTTCTTATGTACATATGTCAGATGTTGGAAGACTCACCAATTGCCAAAAAAAAAGCCTTTTTTGATGTTACTATTAGGAAATAAGTACAAAGGTCATTGTCAGTGACAGTACAGATTTACCTTTCAAACACAGATCTGCCTAATTCAGTTATATATATTTTAAAAAATCAGTTCATTCTTCTATAACACCAGTATAAACTATAAACCACAATGTAGAGGACATCAAATTTAAATGTTTCTACTTGAGTTTCATTAAATATATGTTTTGTGTAGCATTGAAACAAACAACAAATTCTTGTGTATGTTTATAGCTGTACAATTCTGCAGTTCTTCAGTAAAGGATGAAATAGTCTTGGTTCTGTAGCTAAAAACTATATTAAGAAAACTACAAGGCCTGCAGGGATACGTGCAGGCAGAATACTGCATACATAATAAACAAATCTAGGAAGAAAGAAAGAGAGAGGGGAAGGAAGGGGGAAGGAAGGAAGGATGGATGAAAGGAAGAAAACTACTAAAAGCAAATCTGTCCTAACTCAAAGGAGGATCTGGGGAAAGAAAACTACTTACCAAAACTCCATCATAAGCTCCTGCTTCACTCGTCAGGAATGCAAACATGACACACAGATAGGGGTTGTTGAGCTGCAATCGTAGTGTGCTGCACATCTCTCTCCAAAGGGAGTTCTTCTCATCCGTATAACCTGATAAAGCCATTGCTACCACATTGAGATTCAGATCTCCTGGAGGTTAAAAATATACACTAATCAAAGCCATCAGAAGCTTAATAACCTTTTCCCACAGTTCTGAAACCCTCAATACAGTGATCAGAGGGTGAATTTTTATCCCAACAGGCCTACCTGAATAAGAAAATAAGACTTGTTAATTTGGTAGAGTATATTGGAAAAAATTCCATTCTTAAAAAACAATATACACACTTATAATCCCATGCCCAATAAGTATTTCTTTTCTGCAGCACTGGACACTGGACCCAGAATCCCTTTGGCTTGCTTTACCACTGGGCTACTTCCACAGCAGCAAGTACAACATTTAACTTCCTAGTTCTTTGTCCAGCAATTTCCTATGTGGCATATTATTATTTGGTATCTAAATGGAGAAAAGTGAGACCATCTTACCAAAATCACTGCCACCTTTGTCAGTAAAGCCATCTATGCTATCTCAGAGTATTAATAATAGACGCTAGTATATCCCAACATTATAATTTTCAAAGTTTTATTTTCCTATTTCTAATTATATAAAACATATACTGATATACAAAGTGTCAACTGAAGAAAAATTGTTTCAGTATTTTTATACACTTAGAAAACTTGCTAGGTCAACATGAGCTGTCAGAATTATCACAAAACTGCACTTAGGCATGTTTGCAACAACACATTCTTTACCAATGATTTGTATAAGCAGTTACTCTGTGATGTACAGGGCTGCTAGGAAGCTGCCAACCTGCTCTTCAGTTCTGCACAGCCTTCTTAAGTTTCATTCCAAATGTCAAAGCTACCATCTCCCTTTGCCTTTTCTCTTAAGCATTTTCTACCTTTCTTGATTCTAACCATTCTTCCTTTTCCAATTAAAACGATACCCCATCCTTACTTTCTGTTCTTACCAGCTTCATTATTCACATTTACAAAAATGTCTTCTAAGACACTTGATGTTTCATTCCTCTCCTACTCTATTAAGTTTTAAGTCTTTTAAAATAAAAACATATGGCTGGGCAGTGGCGGTGCATGCCTTTAATTCCAGCACTCAGGAGGCAGAGACAGGCGGATCTCTGCGTTCAATGACAGCCTGGTCTACAGATCAAGTTTTAGGATGGCCAGGGCTTCACAGAGAAGCCCTGTCTCAATTTAAAAAAAAAAGGGGGGGTTGACCAATTTGTTTCTTTAAGGATCCTCTGGCTAACTAAAATTTTATCATCTTTGTTTTTTTTTTCCTTCCTTCCTTTCTTCCATCCTTCTCCCCTCCTTCCCTTCCTTTCAATGCTACACAGAACATATATTTTAATGAAACTCAAGTAGAAACATTTTTCAGATCATAATATGCTTTTCACAAGAATCCATACTGGTCTAACTGAAAATATTTAGTGTCCTACCAAAAGAGAGAGTATACATTAAAATATAACCAAATGTTTGTAATGAAAGTGCTTACAAACAAAAGCAATTCCAACATACATTCTTTAATGTATATGATCCTTCTTTAAAAGAAAAATGGAAATATATACTGGAAAACTTACATTATTATTAAAATGTCATTTACGAACATTTTGTTTTTATTGACCTATCCGGAGACATACATAAATGGGACCGGCTAATATTTACTGCTTTCAACAAAAATGTGTATAAGATGCTGGCTAGATAACTGGAAACTATCCACATCCTTTCTTTAGTGGTTCCTATGAACTCTAATTCTCAGAACATAGCCTAATACCTTTTTCTGAAGATGCCCCTTCATTCAGGATTTGGATTGCTCGCCGAATATCCAAGTTGAACAAAGCCACAGCAGCAGCTCTTTCCCATTCTCCTTCTTGCACGAGAGAGTTCAAAAACGGCCCCACATCTACATCCGTTCCTTTCTTTATCCACCCACAAAGCTGTAACGCTAAAATCCTCTCTTCATTTAAGTTCTGAATATCAGTTTGTTTGTCCAAGCCACTCCAATTATGTCTGCTGCTTTCCACCATCCCTAAAAACAGAAAACGTTTGTATAGTGTTGTTCATTGTTATTTTAAAATATATTAGGCAACACCAGCTTTACAAAAAAAAACATTCAGCATTTAGAATATTCAACTTCTCCGTCATAATCTTACAATAGCATAAATAATACTGAAATTTTAAATCAAACATTTTATACCAGAGTTGAATTACTAAGAAGCTATTGCTATAAGAATGAATGTTCAGGCCCGCTAAGCTGAGTCTAATCTAAATAGATAGCTCTGTTACCTAACTCACCACTTGTTTCCTGTTTATGTCCTACACACAGCATTTACCATAAATTCTCACAGCTGTCCTCTCACTAGAACACAAGCTCCAATAAAATAGGTGGTTGAATTATTTTATTTGCAAGGAATGCCCGCTGCCTTGGAGGCCCAACACAGTTGAGCTCTCTTCATTTTCTCCTGTGCATATGTAGCCACATATTCCTTAACGAGAGGGATAAACTACCTGTTACATGGTGCATACCTACACATATGCATTAAAAAATGAGATTACAGTCATCAAAGGACTTCAAGATAAATGATACAGAGAAAACAAATTGGGAATGATCTGACTATGTCTCACTCTGCTATTAAATTAGAAATCTATATCTTTTTTAAAGAAAAAAACCATTTTTATAGCATTCCATTGAAATCATGGTAGTTGGTAATAAAGGTAAAGGAATTTCATTTAAGCAAATAAAGACAAAACATACAACTGATTTCCAAAAGTTGTCTTCTGTCCGCAAGTGTGCAACAACATGTGCATGCCCACACTCACACACATACATGGCTTTTTCCAATCAGCATTTAAACATGCTTGACCTTATGTTGAAACTAAAAACAAAGCAACAACCTCCATTCCAGGTTAGCTCTTGCCACTAGCTACCATTGTATCCTCCCTTATACAGCCTATGTTTTTCATTATTTATATTGATTTCCCTCCATAGTGTTCAGTTGTTTCAGCCAACTGGGTCTAAAGCACGAAGTGACTTCTCCAGCTTGTCTACATGAATACATGGCTCCCACGTTTTTCCTATCCCACCACCATTCTCTGCGTTAAGGAATTTCTTTCAGTTCTTACTCTGAACAATTTCATCTATCCCATAAAACATCAGTTATTTCTAACATACTGTTTGCTCTCTGGTTATAGTCCTCCTACACTCTGGACTCTTAACCCATTGCCCAATTCTTTAAATTTTATTGGTATAGTACTTCATTCTTTGTGGAAGTAGTTTTTAAACTCACAAGTCATGATGTATTCAGATTTATAAAAGATGATCATATATTATGCCTGCCTTTTTACTTCTATTAATAAGTAAGGCAGTTTCTCATTAGACTGACTCATTTTAGTTCTTATGATAAAGGGTACTCTTTTTGGTGGGGTTCTAATGGGAAAATACCCAAATGAAACACATCTGAAGCTGTCCGCTCATCTTTCAGCACTGTGTATCAAAGTAATTTCAAAGCCCTCAAAAAGAAAATCCACTAGAACAAATGCAGCAGCTTAACTGAAATGTTAAACTACTCTAAAAAAAAAAAAAAAAAACAAAAACCACAAAAAAAAAACATGTTATTGTGCATTCTGTGGTACTTGTAGCATAGTGAAGCAAGTCCTATGGATTTATTATTTCTGCTATGGTTTTGATTAAATAGTGTGAATTATTTTACTAGCATCTTAACTCGATGAAGTATAAATAGCCAAAAAAAAATGTGGAGGTTGAACCCTAGGTTAAAAGACAATATAACATTATCACAATTGCAATAAAAAGTAAAAACAACTGCTTAAAGCAACGAGGCTGAAAGTGCTTTTTTTAGGGGGGGTGTCTTTTATTTGTAAATAGTTTATCAATTTAAATCTTACATTAATTTATCCATTAACTGATTCCTTCACTTACTCATCAAGGATTTCCAAGTATTTTCTTCAAGTTAGGCCATACTTCATGTCATATAGCCCTTGTGAAAGTATTTGGGAAGCAAAATCAAAGGAATCTTCTTCACATAGAGATCTTTTATTTAGTCTTTAAAACACACGATGCTGTGATAAAATCCAAACTAACAATCAGCATCTTATAAAAGAACTTATATACTACCTCTCTTAAAGTGGGTCTTCAAATAAATAGCACAGAATAATAAATGAATAGATTTAAGAAATATCTATGTCAAAGTTGCTTCCATAAAATATCTGGATATAAACACAATCAATATATTTAACAATTCACTAGAATATCTAATCAGAAAGTCAAGAGGGATAAAGGAATTTATGTACACAGCACTAAAACGATCTTAATTTTAATCAACTAGGGATCAAGTAAGAATCCAAAAGTTGTAAATGTATTTAAAAATATAAAATGGATTTTTCTTACCTAAAGATGATTTTACTATTGATTTAATTCCTGCATAAACCAATGATCCTTTGTTGCCTGGAGATTTTTGATCCATATCTTCTGTATACTGCTTCATAAGTATTTAAATGCATAGGAAATACTGGTCATTATGCATAATATTTCAGTTAAAATTATTTTAATTAGGAGCAAAGTCCTAACTCTATACAAATAGGACAATTTCACATTACTGACCACCTTTTCTGCCCCCGGTCTACAAACTAAATTTTCAATAGTTTTAAACAATTTTACCTCAGAATTTTAGTTTATATAATTTGTGTTTGCATATAAAACATTTAGTATCTTTACCCAATTTGCCTCAAAATGTTAACAAGACAAAGGATATAGTGTAGAGTGTACCAGAGTGACTTCAGCTGTGGGTCTTCATTTCCAGCTAAAATGTGGTTTCTCCATACCTGTTCTGTATCAAGTCCGTACCTTGATAAAGCCCGGAGGCGCATTTTTGTTGCTATATCTTTTTCTAGGGAATTATCACTTTCTTCTTCTGCGCATTCATACAAATGACGACCACAGGCCCACATTAAAGATGTAATTGGGCTCCAGGCAAGAGATATCCTTTCAAAAACAGTGAAGTCAGACATTGTTCGGTTGGGTGTCACAACTATCATTCGATTTTGGCTTGTTGGATGCCATGCAAAGGAAGCAATGTAATTGTCACAAGGTTGCACACTTCTTTCAATTATTGTAGGTTCAGTTTCATCCCCAATGGGAGTGGGTGTATGCTGCATGTCATACAGCCTAATAATATTACTATCCCTTGTTAAAGTGGCAAGTAGACCTGTCCTAGTTGGACACCATGCTACTTTTGTCAAGGGCTTTGGTTGCTCAGTCAAAGTCAAAACTGGTTTCTCAAATTTTCTAAGATCCCATATTGCAACTTGACCTTCATAGAAGGAAGCAACACGATCATGGAAGTATGGGTCTACTGTCACTCCTTGAACAGCTTTTGTATTTACAAACATCTTCTGGCTTGTGTTCCGAAGATCAAATATGGCTAGGTTACGATGCATGCCAGCAAGGAGAAGTTTCTGGTCTCTTGGAAGCCAACAAAGAGACAGACAAGCATCATTTTGCCCCAACTCGTACAATGGTTTTGTTACTAACAATGTTGTTTCAGTTTCACCTGCTGAAAGTCTCACTTTCTCCATGGGAACAATATCAGGAGTATATTTGCTGCAGATATCCCATATTAAAACTGAAAAGTCAGCTCTGTGCTTGTCTAGACCGGCAGCAAGCCAGTTACTATCCAGTGGATTCCATGCAAGGGTATTGCACTGTCGAGCATGTTTTGGGACAAATTCTTTTCCTATCAAATCTTTAAACTTAGAATTATGATCTTGACCAAGACTTGTAAGTACAACTCGACCATTTGCTTGTCCAACTGCTAGGAGACATTCAGGATCATAATTGAGATACCACGCAACACATTTCATATAGGGTGTATCTGAATTTATTGATAGTAATGTAGCTGCAGAGTCTTCAGACAAACGTAATGATCCAGCTTTGAGTTCTGAATTCACAGCCGATTCCACATGATAAAGGCTCAGTTCTGAGTCACATACAACAAATCTATCAACCTGGTGGGGTGCCCACAAGATATCTGGCTTTGTACCGCTCATGTTTATGGATGGGCTCAGAACGTCCAGTCAGGTCCATTCACTGAAAGTGTTTAAAAAAAGAGGTTTAAGATATCAACAAATCAAAATCCTTCAGTTGAATTCTCTACACAAGTACCCTCTTCTTCTCTGTATTTTTATTTTTCTCTCCACCTAGAAATTTAAGATAATATTCATTTGACTAAAAATGGAGAAAGAGGAATAACCACTTCCTCCAATAAAATGATCTGGTAGGAATCTGAGAACCCTATCCCAGCTTTATTTCCCATGATGAATTATCTTAATTATATAGTTATTGGTGCCTTCAATTTAACCTCAGGTTATAATAACTTCACTATGATGAGTAAATTACGAAGTGCCATACCCATGAAGGGGAAAACTTAAAATTAGTATGAATTGAACTCTTAAGCACTAGTTAGAGCAGCACTCAGTGGAACACTCCTCAATGTAAGTGTTCTGTGTCTGTGCAAACATAAGAATTCCCAGCCACAGAGAGCTACTGAGTGCTAGTTAACTCATTTACTTGTAACTAATTTAACTGTATATATATATAATATAATGAAGAACACAAAATTTGAAGTATAACATCATGCTAAGACATTGTTTTTCAACTTTCAACAATAAGAAACAAGTTTCTATGGCGGAATAAAACTGAAATGTGCAAAGGAGGATATTAAGATTGACTCTAACTTTGTTATAATTAGTAATAGGATGATTTTCTCATCTATTCAATAAAGAAGCTACTTAGATTAGTACTTCCCAAATCTTATACATTCAAGAACCACTCATAATGCTGATTATTTCTCTTTAAACTGACTCTTTTTTAAAATCTGAACGTCAACTTTAATTTCATCAGTAGTTTCAGCAACCATGGGTATAATGTATTAATTATATTTTAATATATGTTAAATAAATATATTATTTTAAAAAGTGCTTGATTGTGCTTTACCTAATGATCAGCAGCACACATGTAATACTTACCTTGGAAAAATGAGTTAAGTGACCATTAGAAGCTCTTAGTTTTTAATTTTATAAGGCTAGATAAGTTTTGACTAAAACTGGAACAGTTTTTTAAAAATCTTGTTTTAATAAAAAAGACAGGATACAAATATTAAGTATTTCCAAGTGGTTAGCAAGAATTACTAGGTCATATACAAAATAAACAAAATATTTACAAATTTTACTGCAATTATATTTGTACAACCAGGTTTCAGTTTTCAGAAAGTGAACATATGGTCCACCTACATCTACTCAAAGTATCAGGTATGGACTAAAATACATCCCCAATAAAGATATGCTCTGATAAGTTTTCAATTCACGCATAATTTCTTTCATATCCTGATCTTGAAAACATTTTATATATGAATTCCCAATATAGAATTTCATAAACTTAATATGTACTTAACTTTTAAAAAGTTAAATACTTTAAAAAATATTAAAAAAACAAAGTGTACAAACTGAACTGGGGGTTATCTAAAAAGAAAAATAAAAAGGACAAGAATTTGAGAAGAGTTAGAAATAAGGAATGCATTTGGGAGGAATAGGGGTGAATATGGTGAAAATACACTGAGCGTATGAAATCTCATAAATATTTAACTTTTAAAAAGATTTAAGAATGTGTATATGTGTATGTCTGAGTGTTTATGCACCTGAGTGCAGTGTTTTTAGAAGCCAGGAAAAGGTGTTGGATCTCCTAGAGATGGGCGTTTCAGGCTACTGCGAGCCACCTGATGTGGGTTCTGGAAACTGAGCTCAGGTCCTCTGCAGGAGCAGACTGCTCTTAACTACTGCACCATCTCTCCCGCTCTCATCTAATTTGGATGATTAGAAAAAAACATGTAGGGATTCTCATACTGGATTTACTTTCTTCTTTTAACACTTCTGGACCTCAGGATCAGCCATCTCAATTGTATCCTTAATATCACTTTTACTTTTTTTCTTTTCCATTTTGTTGTTTGCTTTTCCTTATTCCTAGATTATCCCAATTATTTACCTCTTTCCCTCCTCAACAAGGGATAGTATTTGAAGATATTTTCAAGGCATGATAAACTGTATGAGAACCCAAGGTACATATAATTTCTAATCTGTGATAATAGCTTGACAATTCTAATTATCTTTCCACTATGATCCTTTAAAAGTTAGAATAACCTTTATGTTGTGCATATGTGTGAGCATGCATGGTTTATGTGTTTATGTGTACAGGTATGTGTACACATATGTAGGTTATAGGTCATGCCCTATCACTCTCTACCTGATTTTTAATATAATATTTTCAGCAATTCTTTGAGAATTTCATACTCACAATGTAATTTGACCATATTCACTCCCTACTCTTCCCAAATGCAATCCTTCCTTCTCACGCGTCCCAAATTCTTGTCCTTTTAGTTTTTTCAAGATAACCTACCCAGTTCAATTTGTACACTTTGTTTTCTGAAGCAAGGTCTCTTATTGTGTTCGGAACTCAATGACTTGCCAACACGAGTTGGCCAGTGAACTCAGGAGATCCTATCGTACTCTCCACAGCCTCTCGTGTGCTGAAATTACAGTTCCATGTCACCATGCCCAGTTTCTCACAGATTCCGAGGATCCAAACTCAGGTCTTCACATACTAAGTCATCTCTCCATACCAGAATAATCATCGTATACCACAAGCAAGCAGCTTACACAATTAATTTATCAACGGGCAACTACCTTCAGCCTCTACCTGTTGCTCTAACCTTCTGGCATACTCTACTTGCTGTGTTTTAGCTACATTGTTTTTCTTTTCAGTTCCTGAATCCACCCCTCTGCCCAATCACCTTGTAAACAGCCTCAACTTTTAATCAACCATTTTCTGTCTAGAAATACACTCTCACTGAATAGTATTCTTTCTCTTTAATCCATGTGAGTCTCTTCTACTAGATTATGTTTTCCAAGACAAAGGATGAAATATCTTGTTTCCCACTGTACTTGTAGTACACAGCATAGGTAGCCACTTAGTAGATGGTTAATATTTGTCTAATAAATGCATGTGTTCAGGGGTCCCTGAACACTTCTCACAACTGTTACTTCAAAGTTTTACCTGTTTCCTCCTACTTCCGCCCTTTCCTACCCCAGAAGGAATCCACACTTCTTTTTAGTTGTGGAACCTGGCTGTTAGCCAAGAATGAGGCTCTCACTGTTATAATTGGTTCTAGTGACAGAAGATCCCAAAGTACTGCATCCTAAAAGGAGATTAATTTAATACATTGTATTCTATTTATTCTGTAATTGTTTGGCACCTTGTATGTTCCAGGCACTGTTTTAAACTTTGAGAATACAGTGTTAAACAGGGGCACATAAAATCCTGTTCTAACAAAGTTGCATTCTAATAACAGACACATCCAATAGAAAAGAGTTTGAAAACTGAAAAATGAGGAAGGGAAGCAAGCCATATAATAGGAATCAGCTAAGACAGCAAAAAGAAAAACTAGATGCCACCTACAGCAGTGATTCTCAGCCTGTTGGGACCCCTATTTCAAAAAAATATTTACAATATGATTCATAACAGCAGAAAAATCATAACAAAAATAAATTTGTGGTTTGGGGATCACCACAACTTGAGGAACTGTGTTAAGGGGTTACAGCATCAGGAAGGTTGAGAACCACTACCCTAGTATAAGTGATAATAGCCACAACTATATTCTCACAAATAGAGGCAGCTTCTTAATAAACATATCTTGAGATTCTTGCTAAGTCCCTGAAAAAAAAAGAAAAAGAACTCAATACTTACATAAACACACTTTAACCTAGAATTCCATACTGTAATCTTATTGTTGATACAAAATATGTTTGGTAAAAACAAAGAAAAAACAAAACTTAGATTACACATAGAAAAATACAATTCAAAAATGCACTTGTTACTGTAAGCTAGGTATAGTGGTGCACACCTGTAATCTTGGCATTTGGGAGGTTGAGGTAAGAGGATCAAGAGTTCAGAGTCAACCTCAGACACAGGAAATCTTCCTCAAAAACAATAATGTTGCTGTGAGTTAGTTTTAACGGCTAATTTAAGATAATTCAGAATCACCGGATCGGAGAATCTCAATGAGGGATTGTGTAGACAGCCTGTGGGCCTGTCTAAAGGGGACTGATTATCTCGATTATATTAATTGAAGAAGGAAGACCAACACAATGTGGGTGGTACCATTCCAGTCAGTGGGGGAATCCTGGATTGTCTGAGCAGAGAAAGCTGGCTGAGCAGTGAGCAGCACACATTAATGTACTGATTTCAGCTCCTGACTACAAAAGTAATGTGACTAGCTGCTTCAAGTCCCTGTCACCCTGACTTCCCCAAAATGACGGACTGTAACCTGGAAAGGTAGCTAAAAGGAACTCTTCTCCCTGAAGGTTCTTCTGTCAACATAGTTTATCACAGCAGCAGAAATGAAATGAAGACGCTGTAATTTTAATGCTTTGACTTACATGATTCTCGGGGAAGAACCAATCAGCATTCTGACGCTATGCTTGTAAAACACTGCCACTGTCCACAAAATCATGACAGTAACGCATACGAAACCACAGAACTTTTGAGTTAGAAAGGAACTAATAAATCTTCCTCGTTTTGCGAGCGAATGAAGTCAAGAACAGATGGTGTGGTTCATATGCCAGGTCTGTCGGCTTCCATCTTAGACAAGCGCTGTAGAAAGGATCAGCTACCCAATTTACAGGACCCAGTGTAAAATGAAAATGTCAAGAATTCCCAATAGAACTTTAAACGACTAGCCATTCTAAATGGTAGGCTGGTGCTACTGCACAGGTTGTACAGCATAAAGAAGTCCTGGAAAAGGCAATGAGTCTATAGCCATCCTGAAGAAATCTGACACACAATACGGATGGGTTCTTGCTCATTAACATACATAATGTGAATCTGGAGGAGAGAAAAATCAAATAAATAAATACTCAGAAATTCTTTGCCACTTATTAGCTCAGACCCTTACCAGTCCCTTAAGACTTGGATAAAATCTACCTAATTTCCACCTTACCAAGTTCTAACATCCAAGACCTCTGCTTCACACAGTATATTATCCCTACTATTCTTTCAAACACTCCTAGAAGTCAAAGTGTTCAGATGCTGGGACATTGCAAAATCCATGGAGAAGGCAGGAGTTCCCAATAATTCAGGTCCTCACCTACAGGTTCAGGAAGTGTTCATTTCCCTTCAATGGTTTCTCAGCAAATGAAAAACCATGGAGAGTCTCTGTTCACCACTATCCAAAAGAAATACAACGAGCAATGGTCTGAAATTCTCTAGCAGGCACATTTCAAAAGTAACGAGTGAAATTTAGAGTACCTTTTGAACTTCACCTATCAAAAAATGTTTAAAAATATACAACCAACGCAAACAAACAATTAAAAAAAACCCACTAAATGTTTTACATTTTGGTATTAAATCTTGGGAATCTAGTCTGTACACTAATTACGCATCTCAACCTCACGTGGCTACTGGACACAAGTGTAATACATTACAACAACGCAAATCTTAAGAGCATACGATTTGGAGGGGGTCTCTCTACTTTCTTAACGAGCTTCATCGCTGTACGACAGGCAGTTTCGGGAAATCTGCGGTACTGCTATCTCCCAAGACTGCACACATCTATACCCTCGTTAAAATGTGGTTATTCCAAAAGGCCGGACCAATTCAGCAGAGAGGCTTCACGCCTCTCAAGGAATGTGCAGTATTCGCGGAGGTAGGTACAGAACAGAGCTCACGGGGTGACAGGCCCTTGCACGAGAACTGCACGGGGTACAACTGGAACTCCCAATGTTGTTATTCCGGGTAAAGCAGGAATCGGATCGCGACTCCCACGTTCCAGACACCCGGCCGAGGCGCTCGGCAGAGGGGGAGACGCGGTTCCGCACAGCCGCCGCGGCCGCACGCAGGGCGGCGGTTGCCACGCGGCCGCGGGACGCCCGAAGGCTCCACGCGAGGCCCGCCAGCCGCCCGGCGCCGGGACCAAGCCGCAGCGCGGACGCCACCCGCCGGCGAGCCTCCGAGGAAGCGGCCGCAGCTGCCACCCCCCGCCGGGGGCCCACGCCCGAGACCCGCGCCGGGCCGCACTCACTGACCTGAGGAGGTGGCGAGCCGCCACACTGCCGTTTCCGGCCCGACGCCGCCCCTCCCGCCGCGGGAGCCGCGCGCGGACAAGATGGCCGCCGAAGCGCGGGCGGTGACCCGGGCCACCCGCGGGGCCCGCGACCGAAGCACCACGGCGGCCTCGGAAGCCAGCCGAGCTCCACGCCTCGAGCCCCGCCTCCTCCTCGCTCGGAGCCGCCCCGGGGCGGGGCCGCGCGGCTCAGCGCCCCGCCCAGAGAAAGCCCCGCCCTCGAGGGGGCTCCCCTTCCGTCTTCCACCCGTGGGCGGAGCCACAGCCTGGAGTCTCCGCCTTCTTCCCCCATCACCCCTCGTGAGCGCTCCGCCCAGCGTAGACCCTGCCCCGGAAGCCCTGAAAGGTAGACTTTCTCTATCCTGGGCTCTTGGAATTTGCTTGGTTCTCAGGAACCAGGTTCAAGCAAGTGCACGCGCTTTAGCTTATGTGATCCATTTTAATCAACACTGAAAAGTAGTTACGGGCGATACAGGAGAAGATTCAGGATTTGGGGTTCATGATTATCACACCCTTTGGTTATGAACACCGAGGACCCACTCACACTGTGTTGAGAAGTTGGGGTACAGGAATGTGTGGAAAGACATGGTCTCTGTAGGAAACAGCACAGAAGAGTGAAGGCTTTTTAGAGCGAATTGAGTACCATTTGGGAGAACACCCAACTCGGGGTGGGGGCCAGGGCGTTACCAGAGCTTCTTTGAGGACCACCAGACTAAGAAAGACAAATATGGATCACACAAACACAGCAAGAGTTGGAAAAGAAAAACCTAATACTGAAAAAGCATATTCTGGGTTAGAAAACAGCATATAGCAGGGGGAAAGCAAGAGTCCCTCGCTTACCTGTGGGAGGATTGCTTTATGAAGTTCAGATTTCCACTAGTCAGCCAAAGTCTGAAGACACTAAATGGACGGCCACATAAATAAACGATACATAAGTTTTGATTTGTGAGTGTGATGAAATCTTTCTGGGTCCAGTTCAGTCCAGCCTTGGTGGCTGTTTGTTCCAGTGTGCCTAAGCTGCCCTTTGGGCTACCAAATCTGTCAGGGCTTACCTTCAGGTAACCCTTACGTGGTAGCCTAATACTACATCACAACGCCCACATCAATCACTTTGTTTCATCTTATAATCTAGGCATTACATTGACAAATCATCCAAAGAAGGGTGAGTACAATACAAAGAGCCAGAGAGACAGATATACATACATTTTATTATAGCGCTGTTTGCATCCATATTCTCCAGCTCTGCAGTGGCAGGTTCAACCACCACAGATCAAAATATGTTCCTAAAACTGGACGTGGTGGAGCACATCTGTAATAGCAATACCCCAGAGATTGAAGCAGAAGCATCAAGAGTTCAAAGCCCGGCTCCACTATGTAGTGAGCTTGAAATAGATTGTATGAAAATACCTGTCTCTGTCTCTGTCTCATCTGTCTGCCTCTCCATATGTATGAGTATGCCTGTATTAAACCTGTCATTTTTTCTCATCATGATTCACTAAAGAATGTAGTATATAATTCTTCACATCACGTTTACATTGTGTACACTATTATATGTAATTTAGAGATTATTTAAAGTACAGAGAATGTATGTAAGTTATTTGCAAATATCATACCAAGATAAAATAGTTGAGAATATAGATTTAGATATCATTGGCCAGTACAAAGGGACAACTGTTTTTGTTATAACTACTATATTATATTATTGTTGTTACTGTGCCTAATTTATAAATAAGACTTTATCATACCTATCTATGATTAGAAAAAATATAGTATGTTTAAGTTTGATACTAACCACAGTGTGAGGTGTGTACTGATGGACTTTATACACATCCATCAAAGTTAAGGGGAAACTACTGTATGAACCAATCAAGGAGGTGAAGAGAGTTTGAGAAGCCTTATTAGAAATGCATTGAAAATTAGATAACAAGTTTTTCCACAGAGAGCTGGAATGGTACACTAGTCAAGTAAAAGATATTGAAGACTCAAATTACCAGTGGAAAGGAGACAAGCAGGCTGCCTGTGGGGTAATTCAGAAAGTGAGATGAACAAAAGTTGGTGACTGACCAAGTGAGTGATGAAGATTCTAGGGTGTGGCTCCTGAGTGATGCTGCAGGTGTTTCCGCTCTGAGATTGATTCCCTTCAGTTGACTGACAGCCTATGCTGGTGTCCTTGTGCTTGGCTGTGGGCATGGTGGTAGTGACTGGTCATTTGGTAAGAGGAGTTCGAGGAATGTATTACTTCTTTGACTCCTGCTATGTTAAGAACATGAAGTATAATCAAGGGAATATATCATAAGATCCATCACTTTAGCAAGATCCTGCCCACCTTCTAGTTGTTTTGGCCTAGTACACATGTCTGCACAATAAGTAAGACCAACCTCACGTTTTAGAAAAATGATTTTATCAACGCCTGCCATAGCTGAGGACAACTCCATCAATAGATGACTTCTTACGTTAAGAAAAAAACATCAAAACTACTAGGTGGGGATCCCTAGAGCCCCCCCTTGTTCAGTGCCCCGCCACCCCTTCTTCAGTCACTGTCACACTTCTAGCTGACGTGTGGAGGGAGTGCATGTTTCTGCTCTTGTGAGACATGGAAAGAGCTGCTTGAGGGTTTTTTTTTTCTGTCTGGATATCTTTAGTGTCTCCATTTCTGGTGAGGCTACTTTACATACTCAAATCATTCCATTTTTTCCTCAGAGGACAGGATCATACTTGCTCTGTCTGATCCCACTTTCTTGTGTCTTTCTGGAATTTACTTCATTTTGTCTTTCATGCCTACCATGTTGTTTGCCAAGGGTCAACAATGATATTCACTCTGCCAGTTCCACTGACTAAGGCTTCAGGCTTGCAAGCCGTACACAGTTGACTGTTTCTCGCTCTTGAAATACTTTCTCCACTTGGCTCCACATCAGCAGCCTATTCTTTGTTCTGGTCCCTGTGAGTTGGTTGTTTCTTTGATCAGGCAAGTGTTGTGTTGGTTCTGTGCTCTGCACTGGTCACTTCTCCCCAGCTGGAAAGTTCTTTAACTAATTCAAGGCTGATTATGTATCAAAGACTTTGTAAGACTACATATATAAAGCAATGTCTTATTTACCTATAATTATCCTCCATTACGTTTTAAGGTCCAGCAAGTCCAGTTTCCATTGCCAATTCCTTCCTGCCCCTTCCTTTCTCATATTTCTTCCTTTTCTTTTTTCTTTTTAAAATTCTTTGTTTCATTTGTTTGAGACAGGGTCTTGTACTTACCAGGCTGGCCACAAACCTCCTACCCCTACCTCCTGAATGCTGGTTTTACAATTATGTGCTACCATATTTGTACCATCTATCACTTTGTGATAGCATACCTGCCTCCAAGTTTTAGCAAGGTACTTGGTGACATATATATATATATATATATATATATATATATATATATATATATGTCCATCCATCCATCCATCCATCCTTTGGCTTCCCTTTCAGCTGGATGCAGTCAAAAAGTTGTGGGTGTGAACACTGAGTGTGAGCAAAAATGGACCATGTTCCTTATAAGAGATGCTTCTCTCATCCACTGCCTGTCAAATTACAACAAGAAGTATAAATCAGAAATGCAAGTTATATATTAAGGAAGGCAAAGGTAGCTCAGTAGTCTAAGTCTTAGCATAATTTTGGAAAGCTAAGTTCAGCTTAGCCCATGGCAATTACACAAGACAAAACTAACATCATGACTATATTTTCTGTTCTATACCTCTCATTTGAAAGAACTGTATTTGAGACTTTGGAATGGATAATGCCATTATATTCTGATAGTCTCTCTGTTCCTATAACCTGTAGCCTTGGTTTAGATATACTTCTCAATCAGGCAAGAGTCTTCCAAGTGGTGCCTGCTCTCTTCATGCACATTTCATATGTGTAGCCAAACCTGCTTTCTTGAAAGCCCCTCAAATGACCCTCATTTAGGTTCTTCATTTTTTACACAACTTCTCAACCTAATCTCAAGATGTTAGTATGATAGATGATACTAATTAGTGTGATAGTTAGTTTTTGTCAACTAGACACAAAATAGAGTCACCTGGGACAAGGGACCCTCAGTTGAGGAGTTACTTCCATCAGATTGGCTGTGGAGCATTTCTTTAAATTGCTATTTGATGCAGGAGGGCCCAGCCCATTGTGGGGGTATAAGAAAAACCAACCAGGCATGCAAACTGCAACTTCTACCGTGACCTCTGCCAGTGATGAACTGTTACCTGCAAGTGTAAGATAAACTTTTTTTTTCTCCAACTTGCCTTTGGTCATGGTGTTTATCACAATAACAGAAAGCCATTTAGGAGAGAAACTGGGACCAAGAATTCAGGGAATGTGGGGAACATGATGAAACAGACTGTGTTGTTTGGGGAAATACTGTGAAAACTTTGTAGCTTAGGGCTAGAAAAGTGATCAAGAATAAGCATTCAGAGCTAAATGAGCTATTATTGTGGGAGTGGGGAAGATAAGAAAGTTGATATAAGTACAGGCATCAGAGGCATAGATATTGAAGTTTCAGTAGGAAGTTTTATTAGAGTCCCTCAAAGTGTCTATCAGGGCCCTTTGTGTGATGTATTTGATTAAGAATCTGTGGAAGTGAACACTCTGCCTTACTGGGACAATCTATGCTGGTTAGCTGGAGCTGAAAAAAAAATAAACTGTGATTCATACCAGACCAGCAGCATTGTGAAATTGTCTAGGATATATTTGCTAAGGGTCAGCACATAGGAGCTGAGGTTCGCAGAGATCCAAGGATGTATCACTGGTTGGCACCTGAACTTGGTAATGTGCAGGAATTTCCCACGTGGTATTGGTTTTGAAAGTATGAAGGAATCATAGAAGTCAGCTGAGGCTGACACTGTGATGGCGTTCACACCTCCCTGAAAAGAGGTCAGGAATCCATTTATGAAGGTGCAGCCTTAGGTGTGTGGAAACTCTAGCATTTTTGAGATGCCAGGCCCATGGGATGACCACCATGACAATGGCAGGTGTGGAATGACTCAAGATGGAGCTTAGTAGATAAGGTACATGTGCTGTGGATGGCAGAGCCACAGAAACGGGGTTACCCAAGCTCTTTGGAGCTCAGAAGATCATGTGTCTTAGCTGTCAGACTCTTAACTATTTAGACTATTGGAATTTGGTTTTAGTTTGGTCTGATTGTAACCGTGGTCTGGTTCTTTCTTCTTGAAATAAGAAACTATATAAATTATTTTGTATTTTATAAAACCTACAGTTAAGATACCTTAGACTTTTAATTAAATACTTAAACATTTAATTAAACATTAAATACCTAAAATGCCGTGCCCGCTGCGCAGCCTGTGTCTGAGAATGTGCGGAGGG